GTGGGAATGATTCAATTTTTCCCCATTCAGTATGATGTTGGCTATGGTCTGTCATATACTTTGTATCATTTTAGGTATGTCCCTTCTATGCCTATTTTCTTAAGTGTTCGTATCATGAAAGGGTGTTGAATTTGTCAAAAGCTTTTTCTGCATCTATTGAAAGAATCATGTGGTCTTTGTTTTTGCTTCTGTTTATGTGGTGAATTGCATTTATAGATTTACGTATGTTGAACCATCCCTGCATCCTGGGATGAAGCCACTTGGTCGTGGTGGATTATTTTTTTGATAAGTGTCTGGATTCGCTAGCTAAGATTTGTTGAATTTTTGCATCTATATTCATTAGGGATATTGGTCTGTAGTTTTTTTTTTTGTTGCTCCTTTCTTGGTTTGGTATCAAGAGTAATATTCGCTTCATAAAAGGTGTCGGGAGGTTTCCGTTCTTCTCGATGTTTTGGAATAGTTTCTGCAAGATAGGTACTAGTTTTCTTTGTAAGTATGGTAAATTCAGGTGTGAAGCCATCTGGACCGGACTTTTCTTTTTAGGGAGATTTTAATTGCTGTTTCTATTCAGCTGTTGAGATTGGTCTGTTCAGGGAATCTATTTCTTCCTGGTTGAGCCTAGGGAGGCTGTGTGTTTCTAGAAATTTGTCCATTTCTCACATTTTCAGTTTGTGTGCATAAAGATTTTTGTAGTATTGATAAATTGTATCTTGTATCTCTTTGGGATCAGTTGTGATATCTCCTTTTTTATTCCTGATGGAGCTTATTAGAGATTTCTCTTTTCTGCTTTTCGTTAGCTTAGCCAATGGTGTGTCAATTTTGTTTATTTTTCAAAGAACTAATTTTTGTTTATTAATCTCCTGAATAGCTTCCCTGTTTTCAATTTCATTTACTTCTGATTTGATCTTGTTGATTTCACTTCTTCTGCTGGGTTGGGTTGGTCTGTTTCTTTTTTCCAGCTCTTTGAGTTGTTTCGTTAGATTGTCTATGTGTGATCTTCTTGTCTTTTGGTTATAGGCATTTATGGAGATAAACTTTCCTCTCAGAACTGCTTTAGCTGTGTCCAGAGGGATTGATAACTGTCTCTCATTGTCGTTTTCTTCATAGAATTTTTTATTTCTGTCTTGATTTTTCATTTACGAAGTAGTCATTTAGTAGAGGTTGTTTAATTTCCACGTTTTTGTTGTAGAAATGTGAGTTTCGTTAGGTTTGATTTCTAGTTTTATTCACTGTGATCTGAGAAGGTACGTGGTATGATTTCTATTTTTTTAATTTCTTGAGATTTCTTTTGTGTCTAGGATATGGTCAATCTTAGAGAATGTCCCATGAGCTGATGAGAAGAACGTATATTCAGTGGATTTTTGGGTAGATGTTCTGTAGATGTCTGTCAGACCAATTGTTTCTAGAGTTTGTGTTTAAGTCCATTATTTCTTTATTAATTTCTTGTTTGAGGATCTGTCTCGTGCCATCAGTGGGGTGTTGAAATCTCCGGCGATTATGGAGTTGCTATTAATCCATTTGCTTAGCTCCAGTAAGGTTTGCTTTATGAATCTGGGTGCACCTAAGTTGGGTGCATATATATTTAAATTGTTATCTCTTCTTGTTGACTGTGCCTTCACCATTATATAATGACCTCTTTGTCTTTTACTACTTTTGTTGGTTTAAAACTAAATCGTCTGAAATTAGAACTGCCACACCAGCCTTCTTTTGGCTTGTATTTGCTGGGAATATTGATCTCACCCTTTATTTTAGTCTATATGCATCCTTGCAGTTAAATGTGTTTCCTGAAGACAGCATATACTTGGCCTGTATTTTCTTATCCATTCAGCCAGCCTATGTCTCTTGAGTGGAGAGTTTAAGCCATTCACATTTATTGAGAGAACTGATAGGTAAGGTAGATTACTGATCATTCTGTTGGGTTGGATGTTGTTGCTATGATTTCTGTCTTGAGCCATTGTAATATCTGGCCTTTAATATCTTTGGGTTTTGGTTTGTTTATATTCGTGGTTATTATTATGATGTTCCGTGCAATAATGCTGTTTAAAGTACTTCTTGTAGGGCTGGTCTTGTCTTGGTGATTCTTTGAGCTTTTGCTTGTCTGAGAATGTTTTTATTTCTCCTTCATATATGAAGCTTAGTTTTGCAGGGAATAATATTCTAGGCTGGGCATTGTTTTGTTTCAAAAGAGTGAGAATGGGGCCCAGTCTCTCCTTGCTTGTTAAAGTCTCATTAGAGAAGTCTTGATGTTATTCGAATTGGCTTTCCCTTGTGTGTACTTGCTTCTTTGTCTTAGAGCTCTTAGAAGGGCTCTTTAGTTGATACTTTGGTCAGTCTGATGACTGCATGTCGTGACGTCTTCCTGTTTGCATTTAATCTCCCAGGGGTCCTCTGAGCTTCTTGAACTTGTATATCAAGATTTTGAGCAAGGCCTGGGAAATTTTCCTCTATTATATCTTCAAACAGCTTGTCCAACCTTGAGTGTTCTTCTTCCCTTCTTGTAAGCTATAACCCTCACATTAGGTTCTTCACATATCCCACAGCTTTTGTAGGCTTTGCTCTTTTTCTCTTGTTTCTCTGCTTCTATTTCTGTGACTGATTTATTTAATTGGAGGGTGTTATCTTCAAGCTCTGAGATCTTTCTTCTGTTTCATCTACCCTGTTCTTGAGACTTTCCACTGTATTTGTATTCCTTGAATTGATTCTTCATTTCCAGGAGTTCGTTACACTTTCTTTCATTGTGTCTATTTTTCCCATATCCTGGAGACTTTCTGTGGTTTTTTGTGTTGGTTATTGAGTTTTGTTGCAGCTGGGTGAGTGTTCTTATGATCCACATACGAAATTCTCTTTCTGTCATATTGTTTTCCTGATTTTGGTTGGTGTCCGTTTAGGGGGCTGTTCTCTTTGGGGTGTGTTTTTCCGTTTGGTTCTCATATTTCCGTGAGTTCTTTCGCTGATTTTCCCATGTCGATCAGTTGTTGTTCTTTCCTTAGTTATTGTTTGGGTATTCACACACTTGTTTAGTTTCTGAGGTGTTAGGTGGTGTCTGTGGGTGAAATTGGACCACTCCCTGTATATTGAGTCAGTGGGTGCCGTGGAAAGGCTGTGCAAGATGCCGTCCCTGTCAGTAGGTGGCGTTTGCTTGGAGGAACAGGCTATACTGTTGATTTTGTGTCCTGCTAACAGCTCTTGTTCTGGGAGGAGCTGGGTTGGGTAAGCCTGCCCTCAGGCTGTTAGCAGGGGTCAAAGTTCTGTTCTCTGCTTCCAGGGAAAGCTGTCAGGGCGGGGCTGGAACGGTCCCGCTCAGCCAAAAAGTCTGTGTGTGGGGGTGGGACTGTCTGAGACCCGCAGTCTGGAGCGGGCCTCGCTTCTTTCCACCCTCCCAACTCCGCAGCTACTCCTGGGCCTCTGCCAGCAGGCCAGACCACAAGCCACCAGGCCTCCCCGGACTGTGATGACGGCGGGGAGGTTTCCTGCACAGGAACACCACCTGGGTTGGGCGCACGGCCTCCTCCTGGGAGGAGGGTTGCCCTCTAGGACTCCGATCCGCCCCTAGAGGCACACACACCTCAGTAGGCTGTTCACGTATAACCCTTCTGTGCCCGGGCAATGTTAGCCTCGGTGCAGGGGATCTGGTCTGCAGGTTCGACCTCTGGGTCCAGAGTTCAAACTGTTTCCACCAGGGAGAGGATTTCTGGTCCCAATTCACCCACAGGGAGCCCAAGCTGGGTTATGTTCTCAGCCTCTGAGTTGCACCGTTCTTCTGGAACACGGTGCAGCAGCACCTGGGAGGGCGCGCGGTAGGGAGCTCACAGTCTGAGTTCCCTGAGCCAGGTGTAGGGTCCAAACGGGAAGGTCCGTTTCTGGAGGTGCTCCGGCTGGTGGCTGTATTGTCTCTCTGGGCAGCTCGGGTAGGGTCGGTGGAGGGGAGGAGGGGCCAATATGGCGCCTGCCCCAGCTCGGGTCTGTGCACACGGAGGTGCCCGGAGGAAGTTGGGAGCCTGGTGCCACGTCTGCTACAGGCTCACCGTTGGCAGGCGGCGGCAGTCTCTGGGCTGGTGTCCGCAGGTTTCTCCACCGCTGGGGAGCCACCAGCAGTCCCGAATGCAGGGGAGGGAAAAGCAAATCCACCTCCCTTGCCGCTGGTCTCCGGCTGCTCCGGTGGTCTCAGCCTCCAGTTCTCCTCCGCAGCCTCCTCCCGTGGAGTCTCCCGGGGTCTCAGGTACCCCTCCTTCTGGCCCTTGTCCGCTGTATGCTCGTCTTCTTGCTTCTCTCCTCTAATTTCTGCTAGAATCTGTCTTTTTTGCAGAGACCCTCTGTCTGGCGGTGTTATTCGTCCGCCATCTTGCTCCGCCCCCCCCCCTTCTCTTTTTTAAAGCCTGAATCCCTTCCAGGCACTGACTAACACATTGTCAGATAATGGTTGTTTAAAATGAAAATTCTCAAGCTGACCTCGTTTGTCCTGTCATTCTTTAATTCATCACTCATTCATTCAATAAGTATTGAACATCAGCATGTGCCATTTTATTCACTTAAGAATAAAATAAACAAAAGTTTGTCCCCTTGTGAAACATACTGTAGGAAAGAACCACAAGAAAACTAATGAAATACGTAAAATATATGGCATATTGAATGGTGATAAATGCTAAGAAAAGATGAGAATAGGGTACATAAAAGGAGGTGGAATTTCAATTTTAACAGGGTGGTCAAAGAAGAACTCATTGAAAAAGTAACATTTAAGCAAGGTCTGGAAGGAAGTGAAGGAGTGAGCCAGATGGGAATGAGAAGGGGAGAACACTCCAGCTGAGGGGATGGCCAGTGCACGGCCTTATGGCAGACATGGTCTGGTATATTCCAGAAGCAGCCAGCAAGCCCACATAAACTGCAGCCGATGTGGCGGGACGGGGGGGTGGGGAGCAGTAGGACCTGGAGCAGAAGCATTTCTGAACCAAGAGGGACAATAACTGGGTGACTGTTAATAACGTGTTGTTTCCTGCCTCCAGGACTCAGAGTTTGGCTGGAGAAATGTCTTCTTGCTTTCAGCTGCTATTAACATATTGGGCCTGGCCTTCTACCTCATCTTTGGCAGTGCAGACCTGCAGGACTGGGCCAAAGAGCAGACGTTCACTCACCTCTGAGCAAACAGAGAGATGAGTTAGGACCTGATATTAAGTTGTTCATCGTTTTCCCTCACAGACATTCCTCTTTCATGCCTGCTTGACTGATCAGCCATTTAATTGGAATTGACTTTGTTTCCAGAGTCTTCTCAGAGACCTTGGCTATGTAATACTAAAGGTTTTGTTTGTTTTTTTTTTTTTTTTACCATACCTGGAGATTTTATAGCGGTGAACAAAAAGGACAGTCATTTAACTGTGAGCTTCTAAAAGCAAAAGTGTATTGGGATTTCTAGTTGATCTCTCTTTCCACTATTATTCTGGTAAAAACATCAGGGTCTGGGGGACAATTTCCCTTCAAAGCAAAACAGGAAGCCAGAACCACAGGAGTGAGAACTGAGAGTCACAGAGAAGTTGTGCCCAAACATGCAGAAGATGAACCCTATGACCTGCTGCCAAAAGAAAGCCTGAAACAATGGAAAGCTTCATGTACACAATCCAAAGTCCTGGGCCAGGAGCCAAAGCAGGTGAAGTCACTCTCACATCAAGTGAGGAAGGATACAGCGTCATTCTGAAGCCTGGTGTGGGCAGGATGCCTAGGAGAAAAATGCCAAGAAGGAAAGGACAATAGGAGTGAATCCATCATGACAAGAGCTATAAACATGTCTATAACTAATTGGGGTGACATAGTAGACTTCAACTCTTTCAGACAACTTGCAGTCTGTGGATGCCAGCTTTGGAATCAGAGCCACCTCTGTAATACCTCTACTGCCGGGCACTCTTCAGAGTCCCCTCTTTCTTTCTGCCATCTTGACCTCTGCCCCACATCTACTTTGTGGATCCGTGCAGATCCCACACATCTTAGCAAATGGACATTGTCCAGTGTCTTGTCCATCCTCTCCAACATTTCTTCATGCTTTCATGCTGTCTGGATGTCCTTCATCTGCCCCTCTGACTGTTGGAATCCCACCCACCATTCAGTGGGCCTCATTCAATATTCACTTCATTAACCTACAATGTCTTCCAAAAATGTATGTAGGACCCACGCTGGCTTGACCCCATTCCAAACGCCTGGAGGGTGTGTGTGGTGCTTTCATTAAAGCTCCCATGGGCAGTGTGAGCTTTGGGCAGTGTGAGGACCTTGAAAGAGAGCAAACCCAATTCTAACACTAAATGAATATTAATGCACACATTCCTGGGGGCATGGCAGAAATCAAAACTATACACAGTTTCAAGGAGCTCAGCATCTCAAGAGGGAGATGACTTTAACCAAAGTATTACACAAATGATTATGTAATGACAACTGTAGAAAGTGAAATAATGAGGGGTCCATGGGGCTATGGGAGTGAATGATAAGGTCATGCACACTAATCCAGGGGTGAAGGAGGGCCACCACTACAAAGTGTCAGCTGAGCTGGGACCTGAAAGAGGCTGAAGGGGAGAACGTCTTGGGAAGAGAACAGCATAGGCCAAGGTTTGGTGGCAGGAGGGAGCAATCAATGCAGCCAGAGTATACAGGGAATGAGGGGAGCATGGTCTGTGAGGAGGCTGTAGAAGCATAAGGTCAAGAACATACAGGGCACTGTGGGCCCAGTGAAGTGCATTGGTCCTTATCTTAAAATCAGTGGGAAGTGTTTTAGTGGGAAGGGTTTGTTTTTCAAAGGTTAATTTCCATGTGGGAATGGAGTTCATGGTATAGTCCAGGAGAGAGTGATGGGCCCTGGCATGAGAGAGTGGACATGGTGAGAGATGAATGGTTTATGCCGTTTATGGGATAAACCTGGCAAGACTTAATACTAAGAGAGAGAATGGAAGATGTCCAGGTTTTTATTTTTTTAATGTTTTCTATTTATTAATTAATAAAAAATGCATAGTACAAGCCCTTTATCCCAATCTAAGTACTCAGTAAAAGATTAACAATAAATCTGGATGGCACAGACATGATTTGTTTGGTATGATTTAAAATATAAAAACAGCAATTAACATTAGTATATCACATGACAACTTTTGCTTTTAACAAAGTAATCTTCATGGTAACAAATACATATGATTTTTCATTTTGAAATATTATAAGACTAAGCTTACTATTGCAACAAAATATTTAACCCATTAGCTGTAAACTCTCTTCATTTTTCCTTCTTCCAGTGGCTGTTTTGTGTCTTAAACTGAACTGGTCAAATTTGAGCACATATTCATTTGAGTGACAGACTTTCATTTAGAGTGACAGATTTCCCAGGTTCCTTTGAAAATTTAAGATATTAGTAATTCCATAAACACTATCACATCACATACCACAAGAATGCTGAAGGTAACCATGGAATAGCTATATTCAATAGTTATTTCAGAAAATCTCTTCAAGTTACACTGGCTATGGATAGTGCTTGCACAGATAACATGATAAAATCTTTTACTATAAACACTTCCAATGTTAGCCTTTTCCATATGGAAAGAAAAATCAAAAAACAAACCAAAAACACCCCACCATTATTTTGCATAAAAGAATATTAAATGACTCTAAAACAAAAGAAAGTCTTTTTTTTTTTTATTTTATTTTGAGACAGAGTCTCACTCTTGTCTGGGTTAGAGTGCAGTGGTATCAGCCTAGCTCACAGCAACCTCAAACTCCTGGGCTCAAGCGATCCTCCTGCCTCAGCCTCCTGAGTAGCTGGGACTACAGGCATGCACCACCATGCCCGGCTCATTTCTTCTCTATATTTTTAGTTATTTGGCTAATTTCTTTCTATTTATAGTAGAGACGGGGTCTCGCTCTTGCTTAGGCTGGTTTCAAACACCTGACATCGGGCGATCCTCCCACATTGGCCTCCCAGAGTGCTAGGATTACAGGCGTGAGCCACCACACCTGGCCCCAAATAAACTCTTACTGGCATTTGTGGAATGTTTAAGAGCCAAAAGTGTTGAAAATTTAAGCTTTATTTTCCTTTTCTCCAGATTATTTAAACAAAAAACTGTAGCCACCATTTGGGTGAATATTTACAAGCCAAGTAATGATTTAAGAGAGTACTCTATAAAAAGGCCACATGCAGACACTTTAAGAATTAAATAGAATAATATAAAATATTAGTTAGGTGAACAAGAATACTGTATGTGCAGTGCACTATCTCAGGAATGCAGAGAAATTTTACAAGCAAAAAAAACCCAAGACTAAATACTTCACTAAGAGAACATTTGTTACTAACTAAATAGATAGTCCATATAGGAAAAGGCTAATATATGTCAATTAAGTGTATGTGTCAGAAAGAACTAGGAATAAGAATCCCGATGTTCAAGTGTCTAATACTAGACATTTTATATCCATGTTTTGGCCACTTCTTCAACCAAAGCCATTCTCAATTATTTGCAAGCCATAGATTCAGTGCTACATCAGGATCTCTGCCAGGGCTTGGCTTTCTAGCAGCTCAGAGAACGATTGTTAGGATATATGGGCAAGCCTTCAAAGTTTAAGGGGCAAGGGCAGAAAATGGAATGCTATAGGGATTTAGCTCCATCTAAATCTGGCCCTTTCTGCTTCAAATACTTTATTAGCTAGAGAGCTAGGAAGCCTTCCAGGCCACAGCAAAAGGAAAAATCATTACTATGAGGCATTCATTTAGCCAGGATTTAACTTACCTGTGATATGTTACCCCTCTATTAGCACAAGTAATTAAGAGCTGTTTATATTAATGTTATTTCAAGAAGTTGATCACAAAATCAAGATGCACAAGAAGTTCAAGCAGTCAATGTCGGATTATGTACTGAAATGATGCTCTTAACAATGTTTGTGGCCTAGAATGCAATCACAATAAAGGGAAAATATAGCCTAGGAGTGTCACACAATTGTATCAGAAACTATTAAATAGTACAGTGATACAAAGAAGTTCACTTAATTCATACAATTAATTTATCAGATCTACACAGTGAAAAGCTAGACTGACCCAAGGGAAAAAAAGATCCTTACATTAGTAGCAAAATATCTTTTAGTTCCCAAAAATCATTTGCAATCACTCGATAGGAAAAAATTCTTGATAGGAAAAAATTTATAACCACATAGGTCATGCAGACTTTTAAAATGCTATTTGTATTCGTTTTTTTTCAAACTAAGCAAAACAATGCAACTTTTACTTTTTTAGACAGTTGCAAATTTCTCTTATATTAATGCTCTACCCCAATCCATCCCATTACCAAACAGGAATGATATAAGGGGTGAGAAAAAGATCCTTGATTGTTTCTCATTTTCCTCCTTTTCCCTTGGAATAAACCAAGAATTCATTAAAAATTTTTATAAGTCAGAAGGATAACAAAAGCCTTAAAGTTTTTCTTCAAATAAAATAATGAAGTAAATAGGCTTTCAAATGTCAATAACCTAACAGACCCCAATGCAGCTTTAAGACAGTTTCATTTTAACAAGGAAGTGTTAGAACAGAAAAGAAGCTTCCCAAGAGGCACTCATTTTAAAAATAAATTATAGCTTAAATTATTACTGTATAGATTACTGTGGGAAAAGGCAGAAAGAATTAATTTTTTCCTCTTCTCACAAACCTTGTAAGGCTAGTGTACAGTGGCTTACAAATGTCAGATAATGGACTGTAAATCATCCACCATATTGATCAATCATGTTTATTTAAAGTTTTCATTACATTAGGATATTTTTAATAGGAGGAGAAAAAGTAGTAAAAACCATTTCATTTCTTATCTCCTCCTATTCTAGCCACATAGGCCAGTTGTAATAGATGATACAGATTTCAGCTGTAATTTGTAAAATATTCCAAGAGCTGCCACTGTCCCAAGAAATAGAGAAAACTGCCATCCACAAATAAACTACCAAGGTAAATGTAAATACAGTGTGGTTCTAATTTTCTTTCATACAATCTCAGATAACCCCAAATAGCTTTATGAATACCTTATTTAAAAAAGCAATTTAAAAACCTATCAAAACTAAAAATACTTAAATGCAGAGCTCTCAAATTTCCTTCTATCAGGCCAGAAATCACCACAAAAATTATGATCACAGTTATTAACAGAGATGTCCAGGGTTTGGTTGCTACTAGATTAATGGGATGCCTCTCACAAAGATAGCATTCATACCCAGGGGAAGGTGATAAGAAGGAAAATGGATATACAGGTCTGGATTTCACTTGTGAGATCTGGGCTCCATTTATAAATTTAGGAATCATCTAGATTGAGGGGGTATTAAAATTTTTAGCATGAATAAGACTGCTGAGGGTGACAATATGGTGTAAGAAAGGAAAGCCTGGGAATAAGCCTTAAAGAACTCCAATATTTAGTGGTCAGCTGGAGGATGATTAGTCTTGAATGAAGGAAAAGTGAAAGAGCTGTATACTTAAATCAAAACAGAACAAAAAACACTATGCATACAAATGGGGTTTGGAATTCAGGTAGTTTGATATTGCTTTTGTCCTTAATAAGAATACATTTTATCCACAAGGCAATAACAAGGCACACTTTTTGTATTGCTACCAAATTCCCATTCTTTATAAATCAATTTCTTATTAAGAAAATGAAGCATACTCTAAAGTACTATGAGATGGGAGAGATGGTGGTGAGAAGCATCTGCTAGCAAATTATGCTCAAATGATCAAGGAAAAAAATTCTTTGTACTATTCTTGCAACTTTCCTGTATCTTGAGATTTTTTTTTTTTTCAAATTAAACAAATAGTAGAGGCAGGAGATAAAGATAGAATTTTACTTTGATTACATTCTTTAAGTCATGCTTATTCAATCCATTGGTTATGATTTTAATAAACGTCCATCTAGGTATTTGGTAAACATCAGATCTAATACTCCAATAGGTTAACAAAGCCCAAAACCACAGGTCCAGAAGATGGTGGAGAGCTCTTAGTTCTGTTTATGTTCCGTCTACATTATTCACTTAAAGAATTCAACTCCAGGAAAGCTTTGCTTCCCTCAAAGTAATGTTGTTGATGTATTTTTATGAGACAAAGAGCTAACTTAAAAAATTGCATTTTCTATTTTATCTTTGATATTAAGAAGTTCAGGAATAAATATAATGCTCAGCTGCCTTATCAAACTCTTTCCAGGTTTCTTATAGTATTAACTTTGTCTTTAAAACATTTTAATGTTAGGAATGGAAGTCTGCTTTCAATATTAAAATGTATAATATATTAATAAATCATATAGTCATCTCAATAGAAGCTACAAATAGCATTTGACAAATTCAATTTCCACTCTTGGTTTTTGATTTTCAAACTCAAAAAGAACAGAAAGGCAATTTTTCAACATAATAAAATATTTATTTTAAATTAACAACAAATTTATTATTTAAGTGTAAGTGTAATGGCTATGCAATTAAAGCCATAAAGAATAAAGGAATCCTAATATTAACCTATTATTTTATGTTTTCTCTGGAAATTTTATTTAGGGCAATGAGGCAAAGAAAAAAAAAAGAAGAAAAGAGAGTATTAACTCACAGCAACCTCAAATTCCTGGGCTCTAGCAATTCTCCTGCCTCAGCCTCCCAAGTAGCTGGAACTACAGGCATGTGCCACCATGCCCGGCTAATTTTTTCTATATATATTTTTAGTCATTCAGCTAATTTCTTTCCATTTTTAGTAAAGACAGGGTCTCGCTCTTGCTCAGGCTAGTCATGAACTCCTGAGCTCAAAGGATTCACCCGCCTGGGCCTCCCAGAGTGCTAGGATTATAGGTGTGAGCCACCACGCCCAGCCTTAGACTATAAATATTAAAAGAGAAGAAACAAAATTTTTAGTATTTGCAGATGGTGAGGATCATATACCTGAAAACCCAAGAATCAATTCAAAACTTTATTAACAAGGTATATATATATATAAATATGTACAAATATGCATTGCTAGCTGTAGTTTTTCAGTTAAAAATTAAGTATATTCAAACAATATCTTTCTAATATTTCTGCCCAAACTTGTAAGAAAATACAATAAATAAAAAATCAAATTCAAATTCAGAGAATATAACTTTAAGTTTTATAAGAAATGCACAGGAAATACAGGAAGCAAATTATGGTACTTCACTGAGTAAAAACCGAACCAAGTTCAGCATTGGTACAGTCTTATTATGCCCTTCTAAGTAAGGTGTACCATTAATATAACTATCAATTTCTCCCAAAGTGATTTAGTGCAACTCAATGCAATTCTAAAAAATACTGCAATAGGTCTTTTTAAAAATGGCCCACCGATTACGGAAGAACAGCTGATACAAGAAAATAATATTTTCAAAAATAAAAATGATAAAATTTGTTACCTACCTGATATTTACATAATTTAGACTAATGAATACATTATATAACAATTTCCAGTAATAATACATATTAAACTAAATATGAAGCCCAGCAACAGACATAAATACATAGATTTTTATTTTACTAAAAGTTGGTAAGGCCAGAGGAGCAAAAGTGAGTTATTTTTGGTAAAACTCAAAGTACTTGGATAACAAACCCAAATCCCTACTTAAGCCATGCAATAAAAGTATATAGATGAACTAAAGACACTAAAAAGGGACCATAAATCATCTAGAAGGAAACAATTTTATGCATCTATTCTTTTTTCTCTCCTTTTCAGTTCTGTGTCCTTTTCATCTTCTTGGATGACAGCTACAGACTACCCTAATTTATGGTCACAGCCAATTTTAAAAGCCTGCAGGAGGTTGAACTGCTATCACAGTTTGAGTTTCTTGTCATGAGTTTCTTGTCCACAGCCCATTGTGTCCCAGGGAGAGGCCACAGGCCTGTGAAGTGACCAACTCCACTCTAGGGAGGGAATCTTTCCTATCACTCACCTGGTTTCATTCTCTGTCTCTGGCTTCAGGGAACAAGAGCAGGACAGTATAGTCTGTTTCTCTTTATAGACCCAAACACATTCACCTAAATCTACCGATAATAAAATCCATTTATGTCAATGCAACATAAAGAATTTAACAGCACATATTTATACTTTCTAATTTACATAAATTCTAACCAAGTTTTTATATCCTCATTATATAAACTACTCAATAGCCTTATTCTAGTACAATAGATACTCTGACAACAACTCACTTCACAAATTCTCATATTTCTGTACTACATAGTATTTGTGCCCCAAACAATGGTGGTGACAGCAATACACTATGGAGTGAAAGCTGAGAGATCTGCATAAATTACAGAATTACCCCTCAGAGGGCACCAACTACCAAAGCCAATGTTCAACTCCCTGACACCTTACTTGATAGCTCAGGAATTTCACACTGGCCAGAACGTGCTCCTTATCAGACAAGTTCTGATTTACGCTTCCTGTGGTCTCCCACTTTTGCCTGTTTTAATTCCTACTTTACTGGCCACTTTCTAATCTTTTGTTTTCACCTTCTCTATTTGGTCTATCCATGTTGGCATGGTAACTGGGTCTGTATTTCTGTGCACATACTTTTTCCCTAGGCAATCCCAATTACATGCTGATAATCCCAAAATGTTTGTCTTACTTGGACCTCTCTACTGTGTTACTGACTTGTCTCCTCGATACTTTTGTGAACAAATGTGAACCTAAAGGGCCAATCCTTCAAAATGGATACTGAAGTGCTAACAAGGCCTACATTTAAAATAGAGCCAAGCAGTCACTTAGTGATTAGCAGGCACACTCTTTCTCTAACCTCCTCGGAAAAACCCACACCATCTTTATCATTGGGACTTTTAGAGCTCAACTGAACCAATCAATCAGAGTTCACCTGCCTCAGCCAATCAGAGCTCAGGCATATCGACCAATCAGGGATCAACTGTATTGTCCAATCAGAACTAAGCAAGTTTCAATCCTTCATTTGCATGACCAGAACAGATTGGGAATTTAGGCGGGGATTTTTGCTATAAATCCGCAGGCTACCAGTTTTCCTGAAGTCCCCTCGTTTTACACTGGAGGCAGTGTCTTTACAGTTTGGAAACTGTTCACTGGAATAAAATATATTTCCTCCAGATTCCCTTTTTTAGAGAACTTTTGTTCATATTTTTTGTGTCAAAAGTGATATTTGAAGTGGACCTCCAACTCTCACCCTATCACCTTCATGAACTGATGCCATGGCAACTCCAAGAGCCCCTTGAGCTCATTTGTTTTCTCAGGGGCGTGAGAGGCTTGGGTAAGTCCTGTCAAATTCAGACCTCCCAAGCTTTGGTAGAGGTCTCTGAGACTTCGTTCCTTTCCCATAGGTGCTCTCTATGCAGACCCCAGGGGGAACCTTCTTTTTCGCCTGGGTTTTGGAAGGGAAGGGGGGTGAGCTTGTCAGTCTTAGCTGCTTCCCTTTATTCGGATCTGGAGAGTTCCCTCTGAGCCAGCCCTGGGTTTAGAGGTGGCCTTCCCATCATCCTCAGCCAGTCTACAGGGCTTTGTGGGGACACTCGTGCTAAGGGCACTGCAGAGGGACGGACACCTTCGTCAGGTCAGTGCAATGGTAGCCCACGTTTTAAGTTTTCCTGCTGATCAGCTACCTTCTGGCATTCCAGCTGGCTTTACGAGCAGAAATTATGGTCCAGGAAGTTGTAATTGGCTAGGTGTCTGGAAAAAAATTACTCAAGATAATCTTGAACTTTGTTGGCCACAATGAGAATTCTTTGAAATTCCAAATTTGCCTATCTGTGTGCACAGTTAGAATAAAAGAATACCAAACCAGAGACAACGGGAAGCCTTTTTCTCTTGGCACTTCGAAAGTTCTAAACGGAATCAAAGGGCTACCATGGCCTCCCTTAGAGAAAACAATTTCAAATTAGGTGAATGCCTTAATGAAATAGATTAGTGCTTGTGAAACTGAAACTAAAGCTACAAAACAACAACAACAAAAAACCCCCACCACAACAAACAAAAAAACCTGGAAGAACTTTCCTCCACAAGCCTCCCTTTCCTGCTGCTCTGCCTGTCTTCTGCACCTTTCTCGCCACCTCCCTTTTACCTTTCACTCTCTCCTTTTCACTCTGTAACCTGGTGATTTTGAAAAGGTTTCTAAATTTTCTCTCGAGATTTTGAAAAGGTTTCTAAATTTTCTCTCGACTTGTCTGTATGTTTCTTCTGTAGTCCTCTGATGAATTCCTGTGATTTTGTTACCCGACCATCCATTTTTGATACTCTAACATATCTAGACTTCTTGGAGAAGCTTGAATTCTCTCAGTGCTTGGTATATAAATTTATCACCCTGTTTTCTCTAAAATTTGGTAAGAGCTTCAGCCATGTAGAACAGGTGAATTTCACCTTCTTCCATTTTTGGAGATGCAATTTGTATCCACTGTCCTTTTTAAGTGAGTTTTACCCAACTCATGGCTAAAGTTTTAAAGTTAAAGTTACAAGATCTTTGTTTGCTGTTTTTTGGTGTGTACATGTGTATACATATCTGTATATTGTCTGTTACTAAATTGGCTTATAAATAAATGAGTACTCATAAGTTAAGCAAGTAAGCCCCAATACTTTTTAAGTTCAAGTGATTTAGTAATCTTTTGGCAAATGGGATTAATCTGAAATTGTTGGTGTCATGGGAATGGCTTTGTCTTTTGAGTTATCCACAAAATATACATGTATTTAACTTTAAGGTTCTTAGTTTTATGATACTTGCCTGGTTTGCAGTAATGTAAAATTGGTTGATAGAAATTTTAGTTTGGGAGGATGACTGGATTTGTCTGATGTCTCATGAAATCTTCCAGGCATAACTTGAGAATGAATGGATTAGGTAGATATGGATGAAATAAAACTTTTGATAATGGTTATGTTTATTTTGGAAGCTTTCTCACATCTTTTTAGTAACTATACTGTTAGAATTTTGCTAGGCTAAATTAAATGATAGATGTTCATTGACTGTCTAGATCACTTCTAGATAAGATATAATGCTGAGACTGGTTGCTAAATATGAGTTTAGGCTCATATGCTTTTGGCTTCTTATTTCAGAGGAACAAAAACAGTCTGTCAGTAAAAATGTCATGTTCTATATTAAAGAGTTTTTCTGTTATAAAGACCATGTCTCTAGGCCGGGCGCGGTGGCTCATGCCTATAATCCTAGCACTCTGGTAGGCCAAGGCAGGCGGATTGCTCGAGGTCAGGAGTTCGAAACCAGCCTGAGCAAGAGTGAGACCCGTCTCTACTATAAATAGAAAGAAATTAATTGGCCAACTAATATATATAGAAAAAATTAGCCGGGCATGGTGGTGCATGCCTGTAGTCCCAGCTACTTGGGGGACTGAGGCAGTAGGATCGCTTGAACCTAGGAGTTTGAGGTTGCTGTGAGCTGGGCTGACCCACAGCACTCACTCTAGCCTGGGCAACAACCTCTGTCTCAAAAAAAAAAAAAAAAAAAAAAAAAGAGAGAGAGAGAGAGAGAGAGAAAAAGAGAGAGAGAGAAAAAAAAGACCGTGTCTCTGGAAATTGTAAAATATACATTCATGGATTATTGGTACATATTGATGGTTAAAAATTTCTTACTTCCTAGGTTTTCACTAAAAATTAAGATTGCTAAGAGTTAAAATTGTAATTAAGTTCTACATGTAAGTGTATGAGGAGGGTAGGATGTACTTCTGTAAGGAAGGTTGATATGGTTTGGATGTTTGATCCAAACATCCAAGATCTCCTGTTGAAATTTGATCCCCACTGTTGGAGGTGGGGCTGGTGGTGGTGGTGGACAGATCCTTCATGAATGGCTTGATAACCTCTTCATAAGGAGTGGGTTTTCATTTTGTTAGCTGGTGGTTTAAAAGAGTCTGGCACCCTGCCCTTCTTACTCCTTCTCTGGTGTGACACATCTGTTCCCCTTCCCCTTCTGCCTTGAGTGGAAGCTCTGAAGCCCTCACCAGAGGCAGATGCTGGCATGATGCTTCTTGTACAGCCTGTAAAACTATGAGGCAAAGAAACCTCTTTTCTTTTTAAGTTATCCAGATTTAGATTATTTCCTTCATAGCAATGCAAAATGGACTAACACAAAGGTTGAATAGAAAAGAGAATAATTTTGTCTGAGAAAGAATCTTGTGGTAAATTTTTGTCCTAGAGTAAAATGGTTATTTAAGAAATAGAAAGTATAGGACAAAGCAGAAAGTCTCATCATGTCATAGTCTAAGTCAGTCATGAAAAGTCAGTGAAAAGAAAGTTTATAAAAGGAATTTTCTGTGTAACTAGGTTGGCTACAATTGGAAGGAAATTATTTATGGGTTTTTCTAAGGATTGAACTTCCATGTTAAAAACACAAATACAGAACTTAAAATTTTTGGTCTTCTATGTTAGAACAAGGTTTTCTCAAAATACTGATTTGCTCTTAGTAAAACTGCAAGAGATTTTGATTTTTTATTCCAAAATCTATTCCCTTAACAGCTATTTTCTAAACTATAAACAGTTTCTATTTCTGCCACTTTTCTTCCTGTGAACTGTGGTTTCCCTGGTTTCCAGTTGAGAATGTAGCCCTTCTTCTTTCTGCCCTTAAAAAGGTGTATCTTTTTGTTTGGCTGGGGTGATGACACTCCTTCAAACTCTTCATCAGCTCCTATAACTTTTTCTGGTTCCACCTCTGCTGTTGTGGCCTGACACTAAGTGCTTACATATCTTGAAGATCTAGAAAAGCAATGTTTCCCTCATATATGATTTGATTTTGTATTCTTGGCTTTGTTGACATGTCTGAGTTGTTCCATGAAACCAAGACTTCCTTTTCTGTTACTGAGAGCCACTGAGAACCACATATTCCTCTGCTCAAGGTACTAGTTTTCTTGTTTACATTCGTCTATAATAGTGTTGCTAACACTTCCTGGTGCACCTGGGTAGATGCTTCTAGTCAGGAAACATCTATGATCTTAAAGCTGGGCGAATCCCTGAAAGAGACATCTCCAGAAAGCCTCCTGGCTGGACTTACTGGGTTAAATTACAATTTCCAGATATTTTTGGCTGGCTTCTCTGGGGTATAGGATCCCTTCTGTGTTCTGCCTTACAAGTCTTAATGATCTTCCTCATATTTGGGCTAAGCATTTGGCTCTTGTTTAGAATTGTTCTAGCCTATGAACAGTTGTTTGCAAGAGTCCCCCCTACCAGAATTGTGTTTACCCAACCCTTGAGAATTTAAACTTGCGCCAGCCAGAAACTGGAACCAACTTAACCCAAGAGACTTTAATTAAATATAACAGGTACCTGAGTGCCTCTCATAAGCAAATGGCTCTAATTGCTCAACTAGCCACTGTCCTGCCAACTAGGATTCCTTCGTATGACTAGATGGACCTGGAGCAGGTAGTCAACCAGTCCAGCATCAAGATAGAACACAATCAACCTATTTGATCATAAACGCTCTCTACTGATAGGTTTTGATCAGGCAGGGGAAATGTGTGATCCTGAAAGAGCCACTCCTTCCAGTTGAATCCCGAGTGGCTAAATGGGCCTAAATTTAAAATAGAGCTAAGCTGCCATTTGTCCACTAGGGGTCACACACTATGAAAACCGGCACAATTTTCTCTTTGGGACTTTCGGACACCTGAAACAACCAATCAGGACTCAGCAATATAGACCAATCAGAAATAAGCAAATTTCAATCCCTCATTTGCATAAATAGATCTGGTCGGGAACCTGGGCAGGAACTCTTGGTATAAAAGAGCTTTCCTTTTGTGCTCTGGAAGGTACTTGCATTTTACGCTTGAGGTTGTCTTCCTGGTTTGCTAACTGATCACTGGAATAAAATCTCTTTCCTCTGAATTTCTTTTTCAGAGAACTTTTGTTCACACTTCCATGAGAATTCTAAACAAGCATGGCCAACTTAATGTGGACAAAACCCCATCCCAGTTTTCCTTCCTAGCAAGCCTTCCAATCTCATTAGCGAATACCCCTTAGTTGCTGAAGGCAAAATCTAGGTCCTATCCTTGATTCTTCTCTTTCCTGCACAGTTCACGGTCTTCTTGCCTTGTTTGGCCAGCGTCTGAATCTGGTTGCTTCTTACCATCTCCTCTGCCTCCATCTTAGTCCACATTACCATCTCTTATTTGAACTTCTGAAACAGCTTCTGTCCTGTTGCCTCTCTGGATTCCTTTCTCTAGAAGGTGGCCAGAAGGATCTTTATAAAGCATTGATCGGGCAAGTTACTTTCCTCCTCACAAGCATCCAATGGATTCTGCCAGAAGTGATTTCAAACCAACCTCTTACCATGACTTGAAAGCACTGTGTAATCTAGCCCTTAACCATTCAAAAATTTTCTCTCTTTGCTCACTAAATTCCAGCCATCCTGCCCTTCATTCTCCCTTTTAGACATTCTGAGCTCACTCATTCCAGATTATTTTCCTTGGTTATTTTTTGTGCTTGGAGCACTCTTTCCCTTATTTTAATGTGGTCTTTTTTCTCATCACCGAAGTCTCAACAAAAATGTCACCTACTGTACTCTAGCGAAAGCAGCTCTCCAGAACACTGATAGCTTATTTCATGTCCTTTATAGTATATCTGTGCCTGGAATTATCTTAACTGTTTAAATATAGTTATTCATCTCCCCTGGCCAAAATGTAAAACTCTTTTAGGCACAGAAGTGCTGATGTTGCTCGCTGCTCTATCCCAGTACCTATAAAAGTGCTTAAGAAATAGTCACTGATCGAATATTAGAAGACAGAGATTCTTAATTTGAGGTCTGTGAATTTTCTTAGAAAAAAAAATTCATCATTATTTCCCTAAACTCAGACTGAAATTTAACATTTCCATTACCAATGTAGGAAACAAACCACGGTAGTGGTGGTACCAGTGTCTTTTGATACCAGCAAAAATCACCACTATTTTTTTAAGACATTACAGTTGTGAACTCTGAAAAAGCCAATCCTTTAATTCTGAGAGGCTAACGGCCTAAATTCAAAATAGAGCCAAGTGGCCATTTGCTGAATAGAGGTCACACACCTGTGAGTGAGTTCCTGCAAAATCCAGTCACTTAACTTTGGTATTTTCATAGCTGCCTGTCACTATTTACTTCATCTGAACCAACCAACCAACTGACTGTGACCTGCATTGACCAATCAGAACTCAGCATGCATCAACCAATCAGAACTAAGCAAATTTGAATCCTTCATTTGCATAAGTGATCCTGGGTGGGCACTTTTTCTGTTAAAGACAAACCTTTGTTTTCTTCTCCCAAGTGTATCTTCCTTTCACACCAAAGGCTTAGCAAACTGTCCCCACTTAGCAAACTGTTCATGGTAATAAAGTCTCTTTCCTCTAAATCACTTTTCAGAGAACTTTTGTTCACATGACTACCAATATCTCAAAATACATTGGTTTGGTCACTCTTTTGAAATTAATGCTTTAATAAAGCAGCAGCATGTATTATCATAAGTGTGCTTTTTAGTATCTGGATAACTATTTCAACATATTTAGTTTCATTTAGAATCTTCTGCATTATATTCTGAGTAGTCCATCAAACAAAAGAAGTTAGATGTCCTGCTATACAGGAACTCCATAGGCTGAATGCATGCCAGTTTATATAGTTATTGTCCCCGCAATCCACAGAAATAAATTCAAAGAAGCAAAAATAGAAAATTAAAAAAAAGTAGGGAACTACTTCATATCCAAACCAACAAAGAGTATTTGCTACATTCAAAACACTGAGTGCCAAAAGAAAAGGTGACGTTGGAAGATCCAGCTGCCTACCAAATCTGGAATAGGCAAATTCAATGGGAAGAGAAGGAAATACTGCTCTGGCTGATGTGGCCCTCCTCCACCCTCACTCCACCTTTCCCCTACTGCCTTTACTTTCGTGAGGCAGGGCTGGAGAGGAGGCTTCTGGGAATCAATGGACTCTTGTAATCCTTGCACCCCAGTCACGTTGGCAGTGGCTTCTGGCTAAAGGAGAACCACGTGGCCATGACTCAGCCCTTTCGTATTTTCTTATAACTTATTAAATCTTAATGGAAAGTTATAAAGTAACCAACTTTGTAACACTGGTCAGTTTGAGAGTAATGGGAAAAGTACTGCTGGTTCTGCAAATAAAACGCCTGTGTTCTGCCAAATGGCTGACAGCCCTGAGCATACAGGTTGTTCAAGAAACAAACATCAGCATGAGAAAAAGAGAAAGACAAAGAATATCTCTTGGCGCTGTGGCACTGTCTGTACTGGCATTCCTAGAGCCCTTCTGTTACCTAGCCTAATATCAGAAAAGCGTATTTAAAATTTCCACCGCCTGCCTGACGAGAAGATGCTAAGGGTGCCCAGGTAAACAGGAGGATGGAGAAAATTGTACCCAAACCATGTTTGGGAAATTACAGGCTCAGGAAGAATTGGCCCTGGCCAAAGAAAAGCAATTAGAAAAATTGAATGTTTTTGATATTTTGGAAGTGAAAAGAAAGGAGAAAGAGAACATAGTATGTAAATGGAAAAGGAACACACATTTTCAAAGATTTACAGAGTGTAAACACAATCAAAATTTTAAATATTTTACAAATCTTCTGAATTACTAGTGGCAGGCAGGAAGGCAGTAGTAGGAAGAAGATCACAAAGATAAGGAGTAATTTCTTTCAAGGAAATATAAAATAAGGTGAAAGAAAATAAAGTATATTTGTAATGACAATAAATGTGGTTGGATTCATCTCATCTATACAAAGGAGACAACTTCTGAAATGAGTGAAATAATTGAACCCAACTATATTCCCTTTGCAATAAAAGCATAGTGAATGAAATGACTCAGAAAGGTGGAATTTAAAGGCTATGCAAAAGTATTCCAGCACACACACAAATAAGCACACACACAGTATTATAAGCATAAGTACAGCATTATATAAACATTGTATAAGCATAAGCACAGCATCATAAGCACAGCATTATAAGGATAAGCACAAAGTATTCTAGTACACACAATTTGAAGTTGCCATATCAATATCAGAAAGTGAATTAAAATTAAAAATCATAAAATTAAAAAGGCTGATAAATTTATAAAATCATAAATAAGTTTCCATAAGATATACTGGTCAAAATCTTTTTGAAATATAACATAGAACACAGTATTCAGTACAAATCCTTTGACATGAAAAGGAAAATGAATAGAAAATAACAATAATGGAAAACTTTGGTATAACGTTCAATATTAAATAGGTCAAATATATAAACCAGGGGTCCTCGAACTTTTTAAACAGGGGGCCAGTTCACTGTCCCTCAAACAGTTGGAGGGCCATTGGAGGAAGCGGCACACATTCCACACATGTGCACTATGGGCCTGGGACAAGATGGCTGCCAAGCAGGACAGGCAGCTGCAGCAAAAACACCTGTCGGGCCGGATAAATGTCCTCCTCGGGCTGCATGTGGCCCTCGGGCCATAGTTTGAGGACGCCTGATAATAAACTCAAATAAGATATATGGGGTCTCAATAAAGTAATGTGATTGTTCCCATAACTGTGCCCAACTCCGTACCTTAGAAATAGAGGACAAACCTTTGCTAAGGCCCATGGGATATTTTCTAGTGCTGTTTTATGGATGTTCTTAAGGACAATCTCAGTCATTTCTACATTAAAATATTCAGATAAGCTTTTATATTTTTAAACTGCTGGTTATATTCCATTCATTTAAATAAAATTTATTAACTAAGGCTGCATTGATAAAAATGTTTAATTCCAGATCTGGGTCTTTCCCATTTTTAATCAGTAGTCTTGAGTATGCTCGCATCTTGCCGAATTATTGTGAGTGTACCACTATGGAGATTCTTAGTAGTGGTGATGCTGAGTCAATTTCATCCTGACTCACTATTTGAGTGATATTATCAAGTTTTCCTCCAAACATCATTTGGATCATTTTTTTCAATAAATTTACTGAAATAAATTCTAGCTAATTAAAAAAAGCTTACTATCTATTTTTGTTTAAAGTGAAAAAATCTGTTTATTAACGGTTTTCCAGGAAACTTACTGCATTAATTTATTGTTTCTTTAGTTTTCTAGGCAACCCACTTGGATTTTCTAGGTAAATGATCACATCATCCACTAATAATGGTAATTGTACCTTCTTTTCCAATTTGTATTCTTTTATTTCTTTCTCTCTTTACTCCTCCCTCTTAAGTAAAAACCTCACAGCTTATTGCACAGGTATAATGCCAACCTATATATTGACTCATTGCACAAACTTCTCCCTTCTCCCTATCACTATGGATAAGCTGTAGGTTCTATCCAAAGCCAACCCCTGCACTGGTGCTTGAATTTCATCCCCTTTGGATGACTCAAGTACTTTAATTTTGTATTTGTCCCTTCTCTCCTACATTGCAAAACCTCATTATTGGATCATACCCACAGCTTATATACTATTACATCTATCTTCTGAAACAAACAAAAAGTCTGTCTTTGATTCCATATTCCCCTACAGATACCATGCCATTTCTCTGCTGTCCTTTATAAGAATGTCTATCCTGGCTGTCTCCATTTCCTCAGCTCATATTCTCTTTTTTTTTAACTACAAAAAATGAAAAAACAAACTCAACAAAATAAAACATAAACACAGAGAATTTCACAAAACAAATGTTTGGCTCAATGAAATGTTTATAAGGTAAACACTCTTAATCACTAGCCTAGACATGAAAAATACAATATTTCCAAGATCCCAGACGTTCTCCATGTGGTTCCTCCCTCCCCCTAACAGTAGCAAATACCCTGACCTTTATAATAATTTCTTCTTCTGTATTTCTCTATAGATTTATCACCCACGTGTATATCCCTATAGGGTTTAGTTTCACCAATACTTAAAAATTTGGTATATCTTTTAAGTCTCTTTTAATCTAGATAATCCTCTTTTATCCCTTATTTTTCCTTATACATAATTTATTTGTTAAAGAACCCGAGTCTTTTGATCTATAAAATCTGCCATAGTTTAGATTTGCTGATGATACACGTCAGATGTAGCTCAACACATCCTCTGTTCTCTGTACTTCTTGTGATCTGGTAGCTATATCCATAGGCTTTATCAGATTCAGCTTGATTTTCTTAGGAACACATTAGTGGTGGTGTGTTCTTTCACCAGTAGGTACCCAATGTCCTTATGCCTCTTTTTTTGTGATCTTAATATTAACAGCCAATGACATTCAACAGCGGGATTCCTTAATTCATTGGAGGTTGCAAAATAGGGATATTCTACATCTTTCAATTCTTATCATTAGCTGAAATTGTTCTACAAAGAGACATTTTCCCTACTATTTACCACTGATAGAGTTTATATAAGAAAGGCACAGAACACATTTTAATGAACGCTTTGTCTACGTCATTCATTTGAAAATAATTTTAGTTAGGGTCACATTTAAGGTACCTCTTGTCTAACCCATTCTCAGACCTTATGTAATTTAACTCCTTGATAGCACTTGCCAAAGGTACTTACTCCCGCGTAGTTTCACTTCTCTTCAAAACACCACATTTTCCAACTGTTTTTGTTACTTCATCGAAAGCCCTTCCCAGTCTCCCTTGCAAACTTCTCCTCTTCCTTACCTTTTAATGTCAGATAGACCCAGACTCCCAAATTTACATTTCCAGCCCCAATACCCCTCCAGAATTCCAGAGCTATTTCCATCATGATGTCTAATATTTTCAGGCTTCACCTGGTCCCCCCTTCTCCAGATCTGCACCTCTTATTCTTCCCTATTTGAGGGGTCTTCCTCAGCTCCTCAGTCTCCTGGATCCCCAGTTTTAAAAGTTGTCCTTAAACTGATCACTGCTCACCTTCAGAAGCGTGTGTGTTGTCCTTCCTTAGCCCAATCTTGAATTTCTGCTTTACCAAATACAAGGTAGAAAATGAGACTTATCATATTAATGGCCACCATCAGGAAGAAGACTTTAAACCAAGCTGATTCTGGATCCTGAGGGATTAAAATTCAAAGTAATTATAAAATTATTGATCTTGTTTTATGTTTTATAACATTTAAAATATAATATTAAAATAATATAGATTCAATACAGGTCACTTAAACTCATACATAGCCAAAAAAAGGTCATCATTTCACTCTACAAAAGTAACCACTTTTATCTTTCCACTATATATATGTTTTCTAAAATTCTATTTTAATAAGATATTAAGTTCATACACCACTTTTTGTAGTTCTTAATTAATTAATGTATCTTTTTGTTCCATTTTGATCTATTATTTCAATATTTTCGGCACCTTTTCAAATGTATCTTATGTAGCCAACACATTGTTGTATGACATAAACATAGATAAACAAGTAGAGACACAAAGTATGTTTTTTTATTTTAATTGACAAATTTAACCTATTTTTATCCACTGTAATTATTATTTTGTTAGGATTTATTATTGCCATATTATTTCATATTTTCATTGCAATGTTTTTTTAAAAAAATTTTGATTCACTTTGGAGACATTGAGTTTTCTTCTACTGGTTTAAAAGTAATCCATATTGCTCTTTTAGTGTTTCTTCTTCAAATCTATGCTTAAGTTGATGACACTATCTTGAAAGATCAAATGATATATAGCTATAGAGATTTAAAAATACATAGATAAGTATGTCTATTTATAGCAGATACATATTGAATTATATATTAAATACATAGAAAGATAGATGTATAAATCTTACCAATATTTATTTGTCTTATACATCTAATATTTGGCAGGCTCTCATTTCCTGTTGGTCCTCTCCTCCATCTCCATCCCCATCCTCATGCAAACAAATGATTCCTATTTTGGCATTTTTCAAAAACTTGTAATTATTGAGTATTATGGATATTTTTCCCTTTTTTTCTTTTCCTTTATCCTTGATTTTGTTTCAGATAACAAAAATATAATCAAGATAATCAATACTCTTATTTTTTACTCATTTTCTGATTGCATCTCCTGGGGTTTTTAAACCTCCCTAATTGTTTATTTATTTTCCCCTGAAGTGTGAACCATTGTATGACCTTGTATCCTGGAAAATATTTTTCTTATCCCATTGTCTTTTTGCATCCTGTGTTGATAGAGGCAACTTTCAAATGTTGCCTCAATGGGACTATTTTGAGCAATGTTGCTATGAGAAGGTTGTCAGAAAAATAGGATGCTTGGTTAAATCTGAATTTCAGATAAACAATGAATAAGTTTTTAGTATAAATGTCTCATGCATTTTGGTAATGAAGCAAAGTCTTATATTCACGCTGAGAAATTATTCTTTGTTTTTCTGAAATTAAAATTTAACTGCGCATTCTTCATCTTTTAGGTTGTATTTTTGCTAAATCTGGCTTATGAACATTTTTTGTACATGTTTCTGGGTAAATATATATTCATTTATCTTAGAGTGGAATTCCTGTGCCATAAAGATGCGCAACATGAGATACATAATTTACTAGGTAATACCTATTCTCAGAAGTGTTGTATTGATTTACACTTCCACCATTTGTAAAGTTTCCATTTGCAGCATACCATTACTAACTCTTGGTATTACAGAGCACCAATCTAGTAGGTGTGTAGTGTGAGCAAGATGTGATTTTTAATTTGCTCTTTAATTATTAGCTATTTGGATTTCACCTTGTAAAGTGCCTGTGTACATCATTTTTTCTATTGTTTTTTTTTCTCTTTTTCTTATTGATTTCTAGTAACTATATTTTGACATAAAGCCCTACGTTAGTTACATGTGTTACAAATGTCTTTTCAAACTCAATGACTATTTAATCTATTGGTGGTATCTTTTGAGGAACAGAAATTCTTAATGCAATCACATCTATCACTCTTGTCTTGATCTTTATGTTAGTACTTTTAGTATTCTGTTTAAGAAATAATTCCCTCTGTCAGGTCATGAAAATATTCCTCTGTATTATATTCTAGACACTTTATGTTATGCTATAATTTTGAGCTCTACAATCTAACTCTAATTGAAATTTTTATATATGGTAAGATAAGTTAAATTTTATTTTTCTTTATAAGGATATTTAACCTGGTACCATTTTATGATAAGCTCATCCTTTCTTCACTGCTCTGCAGTGCCACCTTTATCATAAATCAAATGTCCATATATGTGTGATCTTTCTACACTCTTTAGAGAGTCTTTAGAGGGTGCAACTCTTAAGAGGGATTCAGCCTAAAACACTTTAGTTCTGAGGGCCTCACCCTCGCAGGCCCTGGAGAGCTGCCAAAAAATCAAGGGTCCTCACCTTGGCAGAAAAGTAACACCTGATCCTTTGCAGTTTATTCCATTTCTAGCTTCTCCCATATATTGCCTGTTACAGCTTTCCATCTCTTTAGTTCTCTGAAGTTTCACAGAAGACTCTTTTTTCTATTTTTTCAGCCTTTTCAATTGTCTTTATTAAGAGAATTGGCTCATTACTTACTCTTCCATCAATGAAAGCAGAAGCCTCACTAATTATCTTTTTAGCTGTATTTAATATGAAATTTTTAATTTCAATTTTTATATTTTTAATTACCAGAGGTTAGATTTTATTCATTGTGAAATCTCATGTTTCTTGTTGATATTTTCAAACCCCTCTTTTACTTCTTTAACTATAGTAGCATCAATTTCTAATATCTCCGAGTGTCTCATTCTGTGAGGTTTTGATTTTTTCTTAATTTCATATAACTCTTACAAATGATATCTTATTTCTTCAAGCATTTTGTGGTCTTCGTGATATCTTATTCACTGAAACTATATGCATAAAGAGATTTTGGAACATGAATTCAGGGTGTTTCTCCAGAAAAATTTTATTTGCTTCTATTATATTAGACATTTGTGAACTACTTGAAATTCAATTCTTAGCTTGTGGCATTTGGAACAAATAGGGTTTCAGTTTGGGCCTCAAACCCTTATGAAAGTTGGTTTATTGTTTCAAATGCTCAGAATAATCTTTATTCAGTTTTCCTCTCCCTCTGAAACCGAGGCCAAAGCAGACAAGTTAACTTACTAGGCAGAGACAACTTTGGACAGTTGTGGAGCCACATCTCCTCCCATATTTTGGAAGTTAGCAGAGAAGTTAGCTCAGCTAACAACTTTTGGAAGTCAGCTCTGCATATCTGAGGAAGAACAGTCTGTAGCAGGTCCTATGCTCAGAAGAAGAAAACAGGCCCTGGTCTCCTGGAGATCCTCTTTTCTAATGAGGCCATTTCTCTGACCAGGAAGCTTCCCTGGTTCTAGTGATATTTTCTGCCTTTTTGACACTGTAAGTATGGAGAATGTGGTGGTGGAGGGCTACTCTCTATGGGAAATTTGGCCATGGTGCATGCAGACCATCTCTCCCGCCCAACTATGGGATAAAGAGCATTTGGAAGAATTGCCTACACACTATTAATTCTTAGCTTATAAGCTTTCCTTCAAATAAACTATCTATGATTCACATGGTGCTAGTGGCATGAGGGTGTAGTCCTTTGTGATTATAGATTTATTTCATCGTTTCCATTCTGACTCTTCTTTTTTGGGAGGTTTTAGAATTTTACTCTGATCTTCTATAATATCATTTATTATTACTGAAGATAAAGATCAGCCAGGATGGGAAGTGACCCAAGGCAGCCAGTGGCTTCAATGATCATTTACCTCTCTGGAATCAAACTCTTCTTTCATTTTTAATCTCTGAAATTTTTTCTTACTTTGTTTTTTCCAGATGAGGCATGCATATAAAATGGCTATTAAAATTTGCTAGGGCATTTTAAGTGTGCTTAACAGGAAGATTTCAGATAACTCTGTCCATTACTCTTGAAGAAACTTAAGTCAACCTTAATAGAAGTGATTCTTTTGGTCATTGTTTAACTCTATTTACTCCTAATTTTTCATTCTTTTCCTAACAAAACTGTAGCTTGTTACTTATATTACCACTCACCCAGTCAAATGCCTGTTTTGATCACACCAAATATTTATTATTAAAGATAACAAAGGTCCATTTCTATTCCAATAGCCAATGACTGAAAAGTGCTCAATACATCTGATTGATATGGAATGACAAAGAAATTGTATTATCTGTAGATTTAGAGGGATGCCTGATTTGACCAAGTTCATTTTCACATGACACAAAAGCTCACAATTCACCTCCCACTGGTATCTCCTCTGCAGTTTTCATATAGGCATTGCCTCTTTTTCTCTGTACAGGTAACATTGGAAAAATAACTATGCATGTTTGCATGTTCCTTACCTGATTAAGGATCAATCCAGTCAAAGTGGAAGAAATTAGTGCTCCTGTTATTCCAATTAAAGATGTAAATGCTTTAAGAAATCCATAATATCTATACAAAAAAGAATAATACATAAATGTAAAATAGTACAAATGCTTCAGGAAAAGCTAACCTAATGAAATGAACTTTAAGAGAGATAATTGCTGATTTTGTGAATTAACCATTCCTACTTCTCAAATTCCACTAAAATGTCAGAAAAAGTATGTAAATATAAGCAACTTTTTAGTTTCACCACAAAGTCAGAAACATTGGCATTAGCAGTGAAGAAAATGAAGATATTAAGAAAATGGGACCACATTTAGAGTGAAATTCAGCAGATTGAGGAAGCATATAAATGCAGTTGAGAAGTTCAGAAGTGATGTGTATTGGTAATGGGACTGATTTGGGGTTAATAAAAAATAGAAGGGCTCTGTTCACCTGGTCTAGTCCTGTAGTAACAGAGCTCCTGACCCCAAGGATTGCTCCCAATATTCAGGCAAGGAAACCATAAGCCTAGATTACAGGCAACTATGATTACCCAATCCTTGATGCTTAAACTAATTTCAACAGTAAATAAGCTATAAAAGCAGGGAAGCCCCAGGATAATAGATAAAGAAGAGGTCAAATCCATCAGCCACCAAGAACAAGGAAGTGCCTTTTGGAGAGCAGCACAGTGTAAATTAATCAAGACATAAATTCAGTCCAGGACTAGAAGTCTTTGTTTTTCCTGCCCTGTAGATTTTACCGTTAGAGTTTTGTGTTTCCAGGTCTTCCCTTTTATTAGAGGGAGAGTTTTTTGTTTGTTTCATTCTGTTCATTTTGTTTTATTTGCCTAAGTTTAGCTCATTCTTACTCTGCCTTAGTATGTTGAATGTGGAAGGAGGTGTATAGCTTGTTTAATAATTTATGGGTCCCTCAGAGAAGAGTTACATCTGGACCTAGAGTCCTTGAATGTTGAGCTGTATGTAGTCACTGGGTAGAATTTGCATTGTCTCTTTTTGGGGAGCTACAGAATGTGTTCTAATGTGTGAAGAAGAACATATATGGTTCTGACAGCCACAAGTACAGACTGTGGCAGAAACTGTAAATTGTCCCCAGTATTCATTATTCCCTTTTTCATTTTAGCAATAGAACCCCTGGAATTTAGGTGGGAATTGGGGCCCCTTATGACTTTTATGAGCCTTTGTCACTTTTTTCTTCATGACCCCCTTATGAAGGGCATATATTAAAAATATTAAAAATTTTATTTTATGACTTCTCTGGTATAAAGACAAATACATTAACATTACACATTAAGATATTTTCTTCTCACTGAGTTTCCTGAGGGGGCAAAAAGATATTTTCTTCCATGTAAGAGTTTGTTTTTTCTCTTCCAATTTTAAAATAAATTAAAACATTTTCATGGGTTTCTAAAAATATTGTAGACCTTAGGTAGAAATATGATTATCCAGTTAGTAGTGCATTTTAATTCACGTATATTCTACACCCTATAAGATAGTATTATTTTTATATTTTAAAAATATTTTACTTTATTTCTTTTTAAAATATAATTTTTATTTCAAAATATTAGGGGGTACAAGTGTTATTTTTACATGGATGAATTGTATAATGCTGAAGTCAGGGCTTTTAGTGTGCCAATCACCAGAATAGTGTACACTGTACCCAATAGGTAAAGTTTTCATCCTCCTCCCCCTTCTCGCCTTCTCCCCTTCTTAGTTTCCAGTGTCCTTTGCACCACTTTGTGGCCTTACATAAAAGCCTTTAGTTCCTTATTTTACCTTAATTCTTGAAGGACTTCTAGGTTAACAGTGATTTTCTTTTTTGCATTTTAGAAATATCAATCCATTGGCTTCTGGTTTTCATTGTTTCTATTGAGAAGGCAGCTGTCAGTCTTATTATTGCTTCTTTGGAAACAAAGGAGCCTTTTCTGTGATACTATTTTCTTAAACAGTGCTTGCTCTCTCTCTCTCTCTCTCACTCTCTCTCTCTTTCTCGCTCTCTCTCTCTCTTTCTCTCCTTTGCCCCTACTGGTTATTAGCAGTTTTACTATGATGTATTTAGGTGTGATTTTCTTTGTATTTATCCTTTCATTTATTTTTTTATTTGTAACATTTTAATAATTGCTCTCTTCACAGATTCAAAAGCCCTTAGAACATGCTGCGGCTGTTGGGATATTATTTCATCTATTTTTACTAAAAGAGGTGCTTTTATTACATGATCAGAGATATAAACAGAATTCTCAGTGTCAAGAATCCTGAGTGCCATGGACAGTTCCTCCGAAATTATATGTCCACAGGATGGAGAAGTTTACCACTTCTCCAGGTAGCCAGGTGAGCACTTTTTATGCCCTTACCCCTCACAGCACCCAAACTCCTAACAGTGACTATTTGATATGGGAAATCAAAACAACTCTGAAGTTGCTTTAATGCAAGACAGTTTCCTGGACTAAACTCTAAAATTGCTTATTCTTCAGCTACAACAGCCCATGGTGCAAAAGCATTTTGCAAGTTTAATATCCACTATAGTAGACTTTCAATTTTTTTGATTTTATACTTTGGTGTAATATGAGTGAGTAAAACTTAAACAAAATTCAGATATCTGTGCTATGGTTCAGTCTCATATCAAGGGAAATTCAAGGGTGTACAATACATGCATCAGTCAGAAATAATTAAAAGCAATTAAAATTTTTATTGCACCCTCCCTTTAAGAATGCCAAGGGGATGGGAGTGCCTTGTTAATGCATCACAGAGCATCTTAAGAATCTTCTGTTCTTTTCCTCTCTTGATAACCCCCAAAGAAATGGCAGCCACTACATTCCCAGGCCTTCTCTGTCTCACTCAATCTCATTTCTCAAAAAATATTCTTACAAAATCACATCTGTGTGACTTCTCTTCGTTCTTCCAGACCTTCTTTCTTGCCACCTCTGTTCTGTTCAAACAAATGTGATCCCTTTACCCATTCTTCTGTTCTAGCAAAGACCGAATTCCCCTAAGAGGATAATTTAGACATTTTATCTTCTAAGGGAATTCTTTTTAACAGGCAAAAGAGGTTTATAATTAGGAACATTCTTAGTTAATTAAGTTTTGTCCCCATCTCATTAAGAAAAAACAGTTTAACACAAATTGATAAGGTTGATACATAACACATATATGCCCTAAAAATAGAGGATGAACTAGCTTAAGAGACTAAGAATTTTCTTAAAATTGTATATTAGAATACTCACTCTGATTGTAGAAAATTAACTGGCTAGTATGGAATTTGGGCCAGTTGGAATGGTGCAACTCAGGCAAAGTCAGATGTTATCAAACCATTGCTAGCTGAGATATTTCATATCCTACTAACTAGGTGCTGGCAAATAGCACTAGTGAGAGAGTGACTACAGCTAGTTAGCTTTGAATGCAGACATGTCCGGGTGTAAACCCTCTCTCTACTTATTACTAATTATGTGATTTTACACAAAGTTGTTTCCCTGGTCTTTTGTTTCCTCATTCACACTATGTGGATAATATTATCTCACTTACATTGGGGCACACCAAGCATATAAAAAGCACCCAATAAATGGTAGCTATCTATAATTTTATGACTATATCTATTCATGTATGAGGGCTGTCTGGAAAATATCTAACCATGTAACTGTTCTCATTATTTTAACAATGGCTGGATACTTTAAGGACAGCCCTTGTATATATAAGTGTTAGTTTTTATGTTTTTTAAAAGTGAATATGATTCAGTTGGTATTGTACGTTCTATATCAAATAATCCTTTTATGTCTTTATACAATTCCAGATAATTGGAACACCTGCAGGCGTTTTTAAGGTAGATCTTAGAATTGAAACAGATGCATGTCCTCATTACTCTAGCACTCACATTGTGTAGATCTGGTGGAAAGATTCTTTACAGAATTGTAACAAAATGAAATATTCTTGGTTGATTTTGCCTTTCTACTCCACTACTTTACAAAACTTCAGAGAATTCTGTTGATTTTGGATTTATGTTCTCCAAGGAGTGCTAGCCCCACAAAGTATAATACAATATGAATAGTGTCCCCTGAGTTGTGCAAAGGACAGAACTGCTTCTGTTAGCCACACTTATTACATCTCTAAAGAAGGCATAACATACTGAAAAGAGCAAAAGTTTTGTGCCAAGCAAATCTGGATTAAAATTGTAGGTAAGATTTTAAACAAATGGCGAAATTTTGAGCTGAAAATTTAGCCTCTGATCTTCACTTAGTTGTAAGATAAATGTGACTGATTGATGGGTTGTCATGAGAACTAATAATATGTAGACATGTATATAATAGCAATAGTTATGGAGTAGCTAACCCTTATTTAGTGTTTGTTAAAATATGCTAGGTGCTATTATATGTACTTGAACTACATTAACTTATTTAATCCTCTTAATAATTCTGTGAGGTAAGCATTCTCCCATTACCCCAATTTTACACATGAGGAAACCAGCACTGAGAAAGTAAGTAATTTGCTTAAGGCAAATAGTCCTGCTGATATTGAAGTTCACCAATCTAATTTTAGAAACTGTTCTTCTAAACATTGAGCCATACTCTCCACATGTCTATAATAGGTACCTACATCTGTATATATCATTAGGTAAATAATGATTAGTGATTATGTTGGACTTATATAGATACTTCTGCAGAACTTTTGGCCTGCTGGCTATGAACTATAAATAATTGAAATCTTAAAATACTTTTGAGAGCTTGGATTCAAGAAAGAAAGAAATTTTTAAAAACCCTACCCAGTAACTGGTAACAATTATCAAAAAAAAAAAAAAAAGAAATCAAGAAATTAATCCTATTTACAATAGCTACAAGAAAAATAAAATACTTAGGAATAAATTTAACTGAGTAGGTGAAAGACCTGTGTGCGGAAAACCATAAAACATTGATGAAAGAAATTGAAAAAGACACAAATAAATGGAAGGATATCCTATGTTCATGGATAGAAAAATGAATATTGTTAGAATGCACTACCCAAAGCAATCTATAGATTCAATGCAAACCTTATCAAAATTCTAATAATATTTTTCACAGAAATAGAAAAAAATCTTAAAATTTGTACAGAACCACAAAAGACAAGATCCTGAATAGCCAAGCAGTCTTGAGCAAAAAGAAAAAAACTGGAGGCATTATACCACCTGGTTTTAAAATATACTTCAAAGTGATAACAATCAAAACAGCACAATACTATCATAAAAACAGGCACATGGACCAAGGGAAGAGAATAGAGAACTTAGAAATAAGTCCACACATTTATGGTAAATTGATTTTTGACAAAGGTGCTAAGAGCACACAATAGGAAAAGGACAGTCTCTTCAATAAATGGTGTTGGGACAACTGGATATCCAATGCAGAAGAATGGAATTAGACCCTTATCTCACACCACATACTAAAATTTACTCAAAGTAGATTAAAGACCTAAACATAAGACTGAAAACTACAAAACTACTAGAAGAAAATTTAGGAGAAAAGCTCTGTTACATTGGTATGGGCAATGATTTTTTTTTGGATAGAACCATAAAGGCATAGGCAACAAAAGCATAAGTAGAAAACTGGAATTACACCAAAATAAAAAATTTCTGCACAGGCAAAGTAACAAACAATACTATGAAGAGACAACCTACAGAATCAGAGAAAATATTTGCAAATCATACAGCTGATAAGAAGTTGATACCCAAAATATATAAGGAACTCAAACAACTTGAGAGCAAGAAAATAAATAATGCAATTAAAAAATGAGCAAAGGACTTTAATAAACATTTCTTTTTGTTGTTGTGGTTTTGAGACAGAGTCTTGCTCTGTCACCCTGGGTAGAGTGCAGTGGCATAATCATAGCTTACTGCAACCTCAAACTCCTGGGCTCAAGCAATCCTCTTGCCTCAGCTTCCCAAGTAACTGGGATTACAGGTGCATGCCATGACACCTGGCTAATTTTTCTATTTTCAGTAGAGACAGGGTCTTGCTCTTGCTCAGGCTGGTCTCTAACTCTTGAGCTCAAGCAATCCTCTTGCCTTGGCCTCCCAGAGTGCTAGGATTACAGACGTGAGCCACTGTGCCTAGCTGTACATTTTTTAAAAGAAGATGTACAGATGACCAAAAGGCATATGAAAAAAATGCTCAATACCACTAATCATCAGAGAAATGTAAATGAAAACCACAGTGAGATATTTCCTCAATTTAGAATGGCTGTTATCAAAAAGACAAAAGATAAGTGTTGGTGAGGATGTGGAGAAAAGGGAACATTTGCACAGTATTGGTGGAAATATAAATTAGTACAGCCATTATGGAAAACAATATGGAGGTTCCTGAAAAAAATTAAAAATAGAACTACCGTATGATTCAGCAATTCCACTACTGGGTATATATCCAAAGGAAATGAACTCAGTATGTCAAGGAGATAATCTGCACTCCCATGTTCATTGCAGCATTGCTTACAATAGCTAAGATACGGAATCAACCTAAGTGTCCATTAACAGATAAATAGATAAAGAAAATGGCAAATATATGCAGTGGAATACTATTCAGCCTATAAAAGAAAGAAATCCTGTCATTTGTGACAACATGATGAACCTGGAAGACATTATATTAAGTGCAATAAGCCAGGCATAGAAAGACAAATGCTGCATGAACTCATTTACAAGTGGAATCTAAAAAAGTTGAACTCATAGAAGTGGAAAGTAGAATACTGATTACCAGATACTGGTGGCAGGGGAGAGGGGTGGACTCAGGGAGGGAGGATGTTGGTCAGAGGATACAAAATGTCAGTTATACATGAGGATTAAGTTTGAGAGATCTATTGTACAACTTGGTCACTATAGTTAATAACAATGTACTGGAGTCTTAAAAATTCTGAAGATAGTAGATTTCAGTGTTCTCACCACCAAAAATGATAAGCATGTGAAGTAATACAAATGTGAATGAACTCGAGTTTAGCAATTCCATGAAGTATCTATAAAATAAATATATACAGCACTTACTTTATTTGTCAATTAAAAGTAAATAAATTTTTTCAAAACCCTACCTGGGAGCGATATCCAAGGGATTTATAAGTACTCCACCCAAGGAAAAGCTGCTTGTTGCACTAGCAAGGATCAGGAAAATGACAGTGCTATGGAAGTTGGAAGTCAGGTAAGGCAGGCATGCACTGAAGATTGCAGGAAGGAGAAATCCTGGGGAGAGATTCAGACAAAACAGTCAGGTGCATCCTGAAGATGGAGGTGAAGTATCCCCCAAGTGCTTGAATGTTCTAGCTGTTACTTACCTAGTGTGGTGAAGAGTTTCCGGATGGCAATTATGCTGAAAATATTCCTGGTCAGGAAGAAGTCTGATATCTCACCTGCTAGGATACCACAGATCCAGGCAAACAAATATGGAAGGGCAGACAGCAGCCCATTCTGAAAAGGAAATATTATTCTGTGAGTGAATACAATGGGAATAATCCCTACACTGAAATTCAGTATCGAAAATGTGTACTTTCCAGGAAATCATCAACATACAATGCCAGAATTACTGCTGGGGCCACACAAACCAAAAGAAGGAAAAAAATCGCGAGATCACTAACATTTGTCATAAACTCTCAAGTTTTCTACTTTTAGCATCATGAAACCTGAAAGCATTGCGTAATAGAGAAGAAGACTACATAGGGAATGGGAAATACTGGCCCTGGGGAAAACGAGAGAGAGGATAATGATACAATTGCAAACATGCATATGGTGCTTTCCATGGACCAGCTGCCATTAATCCTTGCAATAACTCCATGGCCTCATGGAAGATAAAATTAAGTTGGAGACAGTTTATGTGACCTCATTGTTATGATGATACCTAGGCTGGTTTACTGGGAATTTGTTACAGAAAGCCACAAAGCAGGATACCTAGACTCCATTTCTAAAGAAGTCTTGTGAGGTTATTATAGTATCAAACAGGAATTTCTAAGCATTAATGATTCTCTACGTCAGATAAGCAAGTTGTGTACCCATCCCTCCAAAGCAAGACCTGACTCCTGGGTTCATAGCCCAGACTCATTGCCTTACCCTGGAGAGAAGATTGGTAAGAGCTGAACAGAAGGCCAGGATCTGGCTAAGTGGTTTTCAGAGAAGGATCCCAATCTCTGTAGGGATTGGTGGTGCTGAGCCTTAAGTAACACACAGGGCAGTCATACAGCGAATGGGAGATAAGAGAATGTGTGGAAACATGGGTACACGTGGACTGTTGTCGGAGTGCCAGACACTGTCTATGTCAACACCTTTTGTTCCGGGCAATGTTCACATAAAAATCAGGAACAGTGAGTGTCCAGGTAAAGAGCTCTCACCAGACAGTGTAAGGGATGGGCAAGGGCTGACACTGGGTTCATTTGAGACAGAAAAATGAACCCAGAGTCCTTCATAAAGTTGAAAAGAGAACAGACGGTATACTTACCTCTCTTATATTGACATGAAGTACGGAGTTGATAAAAGTTGGGGTGTATATAAGCATGGTGTTTTTTGTCCAGGAATAAGCAAAATTACTAAGGGTAATAGCCCAGACTGGAAGTGACTTAAGCATAGCCTTGATAGGCAGAGATTGTCTACTTGAGCTGACCTGGAAAGAAAGGAATTCATTAATCATTAGCACATGAGGACAAGTCGGAACATGTTTAGTGTGGAGCAGAATCTGGGAGATGCCAGTGTGGAGCACTGTGTTCTACCTGGTGGTCGAGGGAGGATGTGATGTATTCCTTCTCACTGATGCTTATGCATGGGTGGTTGTTGGGGTCATCATAAAACTGAACGAACCAGAGAAGACATAGAGCACAGCCACAAGCACCTATCAAAGCAGGACAAATTAGAATTGGAAGTTTCTGTTCGTAGTGGATCTCTTTCCCAAATTGGTATTTTTCAGTGTATCACTCTGAGAACTTAGACCTTCTCTGTCTTTTTTGAAATGCCAACAAGGCTCACATTTTTTGTATCCACAGTTGCCTCTTCCTACAGAATGAATTTTACAAAAATGGTGGTAAACCCTTTGGCTCCCAGCCTCTGCTTGCCTCCACTTGTGACAGCTGGGCCGCCGTACCATCAGGCCCTCATCTCTGAGCCTGCACAGGGCTTGACAATCACACAGTTTCGAGAGCTTGACCTCTGTCATGTTCCTGAGCTACAGCACAAGCTTCAGGGATTATCTAAGTTCTATAAGAGTTTGCTAAATTGAGACTAGGGTCCTTAGAGACAGAGAAATAAACCCAGACTCCTTCTTACCTCTCTGATATTAACATGAAGCACAGAGTTGATAAAAGCTGGGTTGTATTACAAGCATAATGTTATTTGTCCATAATCAGGTTATACTAGTAACCCAATTATGGGGAATCCTCTGTTAGGACAAGAAGTATGTAGTGCTCACCAGTCACTCTTCCAGAAATTCATTCATTCATTTGACAAATACAGATTAAACTATGTACCATGCACTTATTCAAAGTACTGAGGATACTGTAGTGAATGAATCCCTGCCTTCGTAGAATTGACCAAAATTCTGACAAAATCCCTGTCTTCATAGAATTGACTTTCTAGTTGATGAGAAAGTGATTATTTTATTCAACCCTCAAAAAAATTCAGATAATGCTATTATTATCACTTTTTCAAAATGAGAAAACTGAGACTCATAAGGATCATGTTACTTGCCCAGGGACACATGGTTAGTAAGTGGTAATTGACCCTTAAGCATGAATTATATTGTTCAGGGAGGGAATATAGCCCTAGAGGAGGAGGCTGTGGCAGAGCTCTGAAGACAGGTTAACAGTTAACAGCAAGTAAAAATGGGTGAGTTAGCAAAAGAGACTGAGAAAAGATGACCAGAAGGATGAAGTCCAATGCAGGGAGGGCATAGTCAAAGAAACTGAGATGAAAAGGAATGGCCTGGGAGCTTTAATAAAGAATCAGAAGGAAATGCTGGACATTGAAAACACTATAATGGAAGTGAAGAATGCCTTTAATGGATGCATCAATTGACTGGACATGACCAAGAAAGAATCAGTGAACTTGACAAAATGGCAATAAAAATTTCCAAACCTGAATTTCAAAGACAGAAAAAGAATGAAAAAGACAGAACAGAATAGCCAAGAACTGTGGGACAATTGTAAAAGGGATAACATATATGTAATGAAAAATACCAGAAGGGGAAGAAAGAGAAAGAAACTTAAGAAATATTTGAAGCAATAATTACTGAGAATTTCTTAAAATTAATGATAGACCTAACTACAGATACAGGAACCTCAGAGAACACCAAGAAAGATAAATAACAAAAATTTACACTCAGGAGTGTCATATTCAACTGCAGAAAACCAAAGACAAAGAAAATTTTGAAAGAAGCTAGAGGAAAAAAGTGACCTGGAAAGTCAGCTTTAAATTTAGAATTCTGCTAGCCACAAATCCCTGCCTGGCCACTGGTCTGGTCTTCTATTCCTACCCAGATCCCTTCCCCACATCATTAGGAGTTTTGATTGGATAGGTGTAGAAATCCTTACCTTCCCCATCAGGCACCATTCATATCCTCTGCAAATAGTCCTTCTTTCCTCCCTTGGTCAATCCCTAGTGCAATGGATATTGGGAAAAGTCCTACTAGTCTGAAAAAGCCTTGGTTCTATTATGTTATTAAATATGAAATGTCCAATTTAGAATCAAAGTTAGTTTATTATATCTCAAACAAGAAGCAGTAAAATTAATCAAAATACGTGCCTAAACTATCGACACAGTTTTGTCATCTTAATGGTAGCTTGTTTATGGCAGCAGAAGAAAAGCCTGGAAAGTGAGTGGTGATGAAATTACAAGAGGCCTTTTCCACAGTGTGTTGAGAATTGACTATGTTTCCTTGCAAGAAGTGGTCCAAAGCCTGGAAGAAGTGGTAGGCAGGCAGTTGTTGCAAGGTCTGATGAATATAGTGGATGACAGAGAGTTTCCAAGTCCAGCCTCTGTAGTTTGAGCAGCATTGTTTGTGCAACATGTGGTTCAGCCTTGTCTTACAAGAGTTTTGGCCTGTCTCTTTTTACCAATCTCTGCTGCTTAATCATAAGCATTTCATCCAGTTGGTTGCAGTAGACATCCGCTGTAATAGATTGATTGGGTTTCATGAAGCATACCAGAGCTGGACCAACAAACAGACACTGTTAGTTTTTTTTGATGAATATTCAGTTTTGGACTGTGTTTCAACACTTCATCTTTATCTAACCATTGTCCTGAATGTTTGCGAATGTCAAAAAGAATTCATTTTTCATCACATATAACAAACAATACAGTGTAGAAATGGTTCACTTTTCTGTCATGACAGCAAAGAAAGGCAAGCTTCGAAACGATTTCTCTTCTGATGCTTGTTTAATACAATGTGGCACTCATCCATCCAGCTTCTTTACCTTGCTGATTTGTTTCACATGGTCCAATATTGTTGGAACAGTAATGTCAAACCTTGCTGCTAATTCATGTGTGGGTTGATCTGGTTTCTCTTCCACTTCAGCTTTCAGTTCATCATTATCCACTTTGGTCTCAGGTCACCCATGTGGCTCAGTTTCAAAATTAAAATCACCAGAATAGAACTTCTCAAGCCATCCTTGTACTGTGCATTCATTGGCCACATTCTTCCTAAACTCTTCATTGATATTACGAGCTCTCTGTGGTGCATTGGTTCCATGATGGAAGTCATATTTGAAAATAACATGAATTTTTGACTTATTCATGGTTTCACAAAAATTGTTCTAAAAAAAATTTGAAAGATAGTAATCAAAAGCCAAAATGTACATTTGAAAGACTGAGGTTGTACCTTCACAATAAAAATAAACCAAGAAGTGCCAATGTGAAATGTCAGAGATATCACCTGTCAAACTTTCCTTAGTACTTAAGGAAATTGGATATTTCATACTTAAATCATTCCAGATTTCATACTTAAAACATTTCAGGAGCAATGACAAGAAGGAAGGTCATGGGCTCTAATGAGCCTACTGTCTTGGCCTGGCAGACTCCCTGCCTTATGAAGAGAACCTCATTGGAGAGAAGCCCAAATGAGCTCTCTACAGTGTAGAATCCAGGGCAAAGGCCCTTTTGCCTGGGCCTCAGTGCAGCTTTGATGGAAGCCATAGGTGATCTTGACAAGGGCGATGTTGATGAGACAGTAGGTCAAACACTAGTCAGATGAAAGTTGAGCGAATGAAAAGCTAGGAAATGTGGGCAGTGAGTACAGATAGATCGTACAATAATTTTAATTATCAAAAGGAGGTTACTTGAGATTAAATACAGGGAACCATTTTAGAGATTCAAGAAGAGTTGAGAAGTTTGAAGTAGTCTTTGGAGACAAATGGCAGGCGGTTTTAAGTGCAAGTGCAAGTGTGTGATACAATTTGCTCTATTAGGTAATCTACAGCACTTAGTAGCTACTTACACATCTTTAAAACACTATTCAGATTTGTTTAACTTTATTGACAAGAATATTCAAATAGAGTTTAAAAACAATCTTGGTTTTAGTTATGCCTCTGCCACTAACTTGGGCAGGTCATTTGACAACTGTGGGTGTCATGTGACTCACAGGAAAAGGGTTGTGGGAGTAGGTATCTAAATACCTAAATTTTACTGCCATCTAAGCCCTTTTCCTCTATTCTCAGTGATAAGTGAAAAGCGTGTGAAGCACTTCACCATAAAGCTATAGATTCATAGTATAATGTATAGTCCCTTCTTTGAGTTTCATGGGGCCACGCATCATAATTGCAAGTGGCTATGCTGCTGTACATAATCTTGTATTAGGAATACAACGTGAATATTGGATATCATCCAACTCCTGACCAGCAATATGAGGCAGCATTAATTACTGAAATGTCCTTACATGGAGTCAAAACCTAACCTCCCTGTAGTTTCTGCATATTTGGTTTTGTTTTGTAATGCAGAAGACGTCTGCATTTCTCTTATATGACAGCCCCACAAGACATGCTCTCTCATTTTCTTTTCTTCAGGCTAGAAAGTCCCAGCTTTCTCAGCTCTTTTCCTGATACAGGGTTTGTGTTCCATCACTAGATTGACCATTACCTATTTCTGATGACTAACACAGTGATTAAAAGCAATGGAATTTTGAGGATGCAAGATATGTTTTCACTTTATAGCTCTGCCATCTGCTCACTATGTGTATTGGGTATCTTCTGTTTGTCACCATAGATGTGTTGTCCATCCTTCTTTATCCTGCTCTGGCTACAGATGGCTGATTTGGGTAAACATGAGAAAGCCCCCATGTCCTCTGCTTTCTAGCTGGATTTGGCCAACAGAAATCCCAGGCAGAGATGAGAGGGAGAGAATTGAGTGAGATTAAGGTATCTTTTCAAACTCTAGCTCTTTCCCTCCTAGGAGAACCTCAATCTAGAGGTCATTGTGTGAAAAATCATGGGTCCTTTCAAGGTGTCTTGCTCTATAAGACTCTCTCTTAATGGATTCTGATAGCTACTTCCTTGCTTGTCACCTTTGGACGTGGCAATGGTCCTAGCTCCTATAATGCTAGCCCCAGGTTACTGCACTATCCCTGTGATCCCACCACATCTCATGCCTACCTTTATAAATAATCATTTTGTAAATAGATCCTTCTGAATTTACCCTGAGTATATGACTTGGGGAAAGTTGCCTAAGCCTTTATAAGTTTCCTCACTTGTCAAATGGGCATATAGCACCCATCCACAATCCCTTATTCACAAATCTGAAACCAAGATCTGAAAGACAAAAGTGATTTTATAACTTATCTGTCAACCTCAACTTTTTATAGTTTTTTATACTAATTTGTGTGAATTTTATTTTTTACTGCATAAATTAATGTGTTTGATTGTGGGATGGTGCTACACATCATGCGTGGAGTGTTAAGTATAAATAGTATACTCATCATGGTATCTTTCTGAAATCTGAGAATTTATCATTTGATAATCCCTTTTCCAAAGTTTCATATAAAGCATGTATCTATCATACCTACATTATAGAATTATAAGTTATGTACAAAAATACATGTACAGTTCTAAGCATGATGCTTTGTTTGTGATAGGAACTTAGTGAATGTTGACTTCTTTCTCTCCTTCAGTGGGGTTCATGATTTTTAATATTAACCTCACATAAATTATTATATTATATTACATTAGGTTTTTATTTTTCATTTTTTCTTCTTATATTCCGAATAATAACTAGGATTTTATAGAAGGAGACTCACCAAAAATATAGAAGACCATGGGCCAGCCCAGAGAGTCACAGATGATTCCAGTCACAAGCAGGACAATGAAGGGTCCCAGCATAAGCCCTAATCAGAAGGCACAAAGAGCACCCCTAATTAATACAGGCATCTGAAAGTAGAGGTAATGTAGCCTCATTGTAGCAACGAACAATTTTCTGTGAAATAAATCTGTATAGCATAATGCCAATTAGAAGAAAAGGGAATATTTGCTTTTCTCTCTCTTTTTCCCTGTTCTTTGAGATAACAATACCTCTTCTCCATTCTAGACAATTTTCTTATCTTTAAAACAAGAATACTGAAATAGATGATTTCTAAAGCCCTTAACAGTTCAAAACACACACATTTCTTATGCTCTAGGGAAGAACGTAATACAATGAGATGAAAATGGGATTCAACCATTCTAGGCTCTAAGCCCTTACCTGATAGACTCATAGAAGTCAGTCGGCCTCGTTCCAGGGGAGGAGCCCATTTGACCCATACTTCATGCTGAGCTGTTATTACTGTTGCCTGAAATGAGAAGGATTAGGACATTTGAACTCTAATACTTTCTGTGAATTTAAGCCTTGTTCAGTTTTTGCATTATCTTAATACCTGGGATATTCCCTGGACTACACGACATGCAATGACCCAAGTTTCTCCAACTTCAGCTGCTGGTGGGATGAACAGACTTAACAGAGAGCTGAGGAATAATGCACATCCAACCATTTTCTTAACAGAGTATATTCCAGATAAGTATCCAACAGGAATTTGGATGAAGACTACACCATAGAAGCTGGAACTGAAGATGATCCCCTGGATTTCAGGGCTCCAATTATACACGGGGTTCTGAAAGAAAAGGGGAGACACATCTAACCACTCTGCATGTAGGAGATTTACTGTGACATTCAGGGATTCAGGAAAACTCGTCTTCAGGGGCTCATCCCATGTAAAGTAGGTTCCTTCTTCCTAACACTTGTTGTCACAGGACTTTCTTTATTCCATTATGACATCATTTCTTGTATGCATTTGCATTTTATCATTGATATCTTCAACGATAAAGTCCTTATAGCCAAGGGCACCATCTGTACCTCCAGAAGCTGTCACAGCATAGACATCTAATACTTGTTTATTGAATGTTGCTAAACTGCATGTAAACTCTCCCGATGAGTTCTGCATAGCACTACATGTACTGCAATAGTTAATTTCCTGTACTGCATGGTACTACATACACTGCAATAGTTAATTTCCTCTTGCTCCTCCTCTAGCTCCTTCATTAATTTAAGCTTATTCACTTCAAAGTTATCTTATTCACTTGAGTTATCTTTGATGTAAATTGGAAAAATGACCTGGCAGAGAAAAAAGAAGGAAAGGAAGAAGAGAGAAAGGGAGGGAGGGATGAAAAGAATGGGAATTGTGAGAAAAAGGAACACATTTTTAAGCCCATGTTTATCTATCCCAACAGCCAATCAAAGCAGCTCCAGAAAGGAAAAAAAATGTAGTTCTTTTCTAAGAACATTCTAAATATCAACTTTAAACTCTAAACATAAGAAACTGCAATCCAAGAACAAATATCACAATGATCATTGTACTTAATGACTATTGAGACTGGGTACTCAAAGGGGTCAACACAGTTCAGAGGTCATCCTTAGGTATTGTCTGGCAGGATATTATGATCAAGCTTAATCTACCAAAAGTGGAAGCCAAAGTGCCTCTATGATTTGATATGGACCTGCTTTGGGAGCAGACAGAATCACCTGGATATCTCAAGTTATGTTTCCCCCTATGTACACTGTTTCTAGAGAAAAAAGTAGCGATAAAGCAAACCATGAAGAGCTCTCAGTATGAGCTGTGAAAATGACTGCATAGGACAGTGAAGATAAAGATCATTTCTCTTCCTTTACTTGGCTCAGATGTGGCATATTTTTTCCCAGGAATGGATTCATTTGTCCATTCCTAGGTTAGAGAGCCTTCTATAGTTTTGTTACTTTACTAAAGGCTGAGAAAAGAAATTCTGAATGTTGAACTTATTGTTGAGACTATGGAGGAGGAGGTGGCATATGTTTTTGGACTCATTGAACAGAGAGAAACCTTAATGGTAGTAGGGGAGGACAGGATAAAGCTTCTTTGGAAGCTTAAGACAGTCCCATTCTCTAAACTTTTTGTTAGTTGCATAATTAGGAGGAACATCTTAAGAAATGAAGAGTAGCTGGGTGATATTTTTGGTTGAATATTAAATAAGGAAATAGGTAGGAATTCATGCATTTTTTCTCATCACTGTAATCTTATTCCTCCATTCCTCTTTTTTCACTCCTTTTCAAGATTCTGTCACCCTATAGCTGTGGCCTCTGGATAGAAATGTCTCTCTTGGATGGAAAAGGACTTACATGGAGAGATCCGGTAGGAGTGTCGCTCAAGGATAGTGAATAATAACCAATGAGGCATATTCCTATAGCAGCCAGGCAGTCAAGGAAGTTCCAGATCTTTTCCATTGAGGGGAGAGGGCTATCCAGAATGCTCTGTCAGGTTTTTTTTTGTTTTGTTTTGTTTTTAATCACAGGAAGCACCAGGGAAATTAATATTCACCCTTACCCATATCAGGTGGGTAATATATGTCTGCTGATACCCGTATCAGCAGACATTTGTTCAACTCTCTCTGTGTGCATGAACAGATCACTCAAGATCTCAAATAGTTTTTCTTATCACTCTCCATAGTAGAATGTAGAAAAGAGCCCACTAGAGTTGGATTAAAGTCCCAGGGGAAATGATAAACAAAAAAGAGACCTGCTCTCTCTTTTACCTTGAAGTGTTTGTCCTTAGGAACAGCACAGTTTGTGCAACCCTGGAAGCATTACCTTGAGACATTGTTTTGAAGTCTGCCTCCCTTCTTTGCTTTGGGAGGCATGTCTTTCCATTCCTTTACTTTTAAACCCTCTACATGAGAAGGGAGCCCTCAGTAACCAGCTTCACTCTCCTGTCATTGTTCCCTGCTTGCATCTTGTTGCTGGCATGACACTTTCATACCTTGAGATATCCAGGTGATTTTATCTGCCTCCAAAACAGGTCCATATCAAATCATAAAGGCACTTTGGCTTCCACTTTGGTAGATTAGGCCTGATCATAATATCCTGCCAGACAATACCTAAGAATGACCTCTGAACTGTGTTGACCTATTTGACTACCCAGTCTCAATAGTCATTGTTTTTAAGTACAATGCTCATTGTGATATTTGTTCTTGGATTGCAGTTTCTTATATTTAGAGTATAAAGTTGATATTTAGAATGTTCTTAGAAAATAACTACATTTTTTATTCCTTTCTGGAGCTGCTTTGATTGGCTGTTGGGATAGATAAGCATGGGCTTCAAAATGTGTTCCTCCTAGTTTTCTCACATTTCCCATTCTTTTCTTCCCTCACTCCCATATTTCCTCCCTCTCTCTCTCTTCTGTCTTTTCTTCTTTTTTCTCTGCCAGGCCATTTTTCAAATTTACAACAAAGATAACTCAAGTGTTGGTATCTGTTAGTATCTGTCACTCTTTACATGAGGAGTGACATTTTATTTTTAAGATGACTACAGAGCTATTTTTAGATATGTTTTTAGTAAAATTTTGAACCAGCAACTTTTTAATTAAACATCTTCCAGTGTTAAGTAGGTGAAAAATGTCCATAGGCAAGTCTGCCTGTTCTCTGTCATTGTCCTTTGTCTTCCTGAATCCCTTAGGAGTTCTTTCACCCTCCTACTTTTGGGTGTGCATGTCTGGAGTTTGTAGTGGGTTGTTTGTAAAGCTGGAGGCCTTTGTTCTTTTTTTTTTTTTTTCCTACAAAATGTGAACTTCGTTATGTTTTTTTGCTACCAAACTGTGAATAATTGAAAGAATGGACACCTTTTGTGATGGTTGACGTCTCTCAGGAATAAGCTGGATCTCCGATGTTTTGGGGATGCTCTGAGTCCCAAAAATTGATAACCAGAAAAGTATCTTTGTTTGTCTACTATATCCATTTTCCAGTTTTAATTAAACTTCAAATTTTGTTTCACATTAAAAAAAAGTCCCTGGACTCAGACTGAAACTTCACACACCAGGAAGATAAAACCTAGTTTATATTTCCCTATTCAGTGCATAAACTATTTGTCATTATATGAAGTAGTCCACATATAAATGTGTAAATTACCCTACATAAATCTTATGAATAAATATATATACATTTGTATAGGTCATATAAATGAATAAGAGATATATAATACCTAAATAGGTAAAATGGACCAAGAGTATCAACAGATAATTTACGAGAGAAAAAATTGAAATGATCAATAAACATAAGTCACAGAATAAATAAATAAAAATAAATTAAATATTTAAATATTAATTAAATATTAAATAAACAAAAATGTGTAATCCCATTAATAATGAAAGAATATCTATTTTAAAGTTATGGTAGAATTTCTAAGTATCAGATTGGTAAAATTTAAATAGAATAATGACACATACTCCTTGACTTTGATGACAGGGAGAAAAGTGACAACAGAATACTCCGCATTCACCTTCTTTCTCGCCTTTATTCCTCCTCTATACTAGTGTCCCTTACTGTGGTATCTCTGTGGTATCTATTCTTCCTTATTTTCCTTGTTATTTTGTCTTCTTTTCTAGAATGTTCTGTCTTTTTCATAATCTTTCTCTGTCAGTTTCCTTTTTTCATTCATCTGCTGTCTGAGCATAGCCTCGTGTTGTCTGGCCATGTCTTCTTTGAGCTCTCATTGGTATCACACTACGGTGTTCTTTCCATAGCTACAATTGCTTCACTAATTTTTAGGTTCATTTTGTAATGTTAGGTTATAATTTACATCTGCTTTGTGGAAATAATTTTCTGGTGATTTTAACTAATTATGTGTTCTATTTCTTCAGTTTTCATATAGTACCTTTGTATAGTAATAAACTGCATTGTAGCAGGAAGTTACATGGGGGCAATAGTGGTTGTGAATGTGGTAGAGAAATGTTCCAAGCTCCATATCTTCAAGAGTCCCCTTCTCTTTTGCTATAGTGGAGGATCTAAAATACAGGCCCTTTGAAGGAGTAGTCATTTCTCTAGAAAATAGGGCTCTTTATTTAAACTGAAGCAACAGAATACTACAAGTATTTAAGAATATAATTTAAGAAAACACTTTTGAATAAAATAAATTTTTGATAATTGACACAATAAACTGTGTATATGTATATACTTGTGAAACCATCACCACAGTCAAGATAGTAAACATATTTTTCATCTCTAAAAGTTTCCTCTTACTTTCCCTCCTGCCTCTTCCCTGCCACTGGTCTGCTGCCTGTTGCTATAACTTTGTTTTCATTTTCTAGACATTTTGTATAAATGGAGTCCTATAGTACATACTCTATTTTTTTGTCTGGCTTATTTTACTCAGTACAATTAGTTTAAGTTTCATCCATGTTGTTGAGTGTGACAATAGTTCATTCCATTTTAGTGCTAAGTGGTAGTACTCCATTTTATGGGTGTGTCATAGTTTGTTCGTTCATTCACCTATTGATGGACATTTAGGTTGTTTCCGGTTTTTTGGCTATTAGAAATAAAGCTATTCTGAACATTTATGTACAAGTCTCTGTATGGACATGTGCTTTTATTTTTCTTAAATAAATACCTAGTAGTGGAATGGCTGTATCATGTGGTAGGTGTGTGCTTAATTTTTAATGAAATGACGGAGTATATTCTAAAGTAGTTGTACAATTTTGTATTCTCACAATCAGTATTGGAGAATTCCAGTTCCTCCACATTTTTGCCAACACTAGGTAGGTCCAATCTTTATAATTTTAGCTATTTGAATCAGTATGTGGTGATATATCTTTGTGAACTTAATGTTTGTCCCCAATAACTAATGATGTACTAATGATGTAGAGCATCTTTTCATGTGAGTATTTGCCATTCACGTATCTCCTTTGGTGAAGTATCTGTTCACATCTTTTTCCCATTTTTTTATTGGGTTGTCTATTTTTTTTAAATTCAGTTTTGAGAGAAGTTCTTTATTGGGTATGATTTGCAAACATTTATCCCTCTCTCTAGCTTGTCTTCTCATTCTTCTAATAGTATCTTGAATTTTGATGAAGTCCAATTTTATGTTTGTTCTTTTGTGTATCCTTATTTCTGTTTTAGTTCCCTTGATTTCTAGTATTTCTTTCTTATTCTTTTTATATTATAGTTTTCATCTCTCTACTGATATTACCTATCTTGTATTGCATGTTGCCTGCTTTTTCCATTAGTGCCCTTAACATATTAATATTAATTATAGTTATTTTATTTTAATAAATTCTCTGTCTAGGAATTCCTACATATGTGTCTTTTCTGAGCCTGGTTCTAATGATTAATTTAACAATTCAAGGTATAGTACATTGCATATAGAATGTTATTTTTAATCTAAAATGGGGTGAAAATTTTTAAAAAGTTCATATTTGTTTGTATATTTATAAAGAACATAGGGAGAATGTAGTGAAAAAATATTCTTCCCACCCATTTTTATTTTTTCCTTCATCTATACTTTCTCACAGATAAAAACTCATTAGCTTTCAGGGATAAAATCAATGAAATGTTTAAATATACTGCATGTTTAGGAAGTTAAATAAAAAATAGAATATGTCTTCTCCTTCTACTTCTGGTTTAAAAGTTTTTCCTTTTTTTCTCTGGTCCAAACTTCTTGATTATAAAGAAGCGCTAACTCTTGGGTTTTATTCTTCCTCACATATAAGTATTAACATAAGCCCTTCAGAAATATTGAGGAATACTTTAATCATGCTACATGTTTATTTAGGTTCTTGCTGGCAAGGTAGATAAAGACTTGAGCTTCTTTTTCTAATTATTATTGTCATATCAATAACATTCAACCTTTACAAAAATTATAATAATTAGCAAACAAATTTTAAACACTTGACTGCGGGCAATACTTTTTATATACCTTCGTGTTATCCTGGAGCTTCTTTGTAGATGTGTTGGTCAAGCCATGTGGATCTGTGCTGTTCACCATGGCTACCATTGTGAGGCTCAGACAAGTGCGCTGTGCCGTTACTAAAACATTGCAGCAGTGCAGGAGGAGAGACAGTCCATAGCGAAAAGAACAAAAACCTGGAACTAGGAAGTAGAACAGAATTAATTGTTAATTGTTAACACAGTGAGATAAAAAACATACTTTAACTTTAGGAGGGCCAATCAGAAATTTGGAGCCCTAGATATTAATCTAAAATTTTGTTGTTACTTAATGGCCTTTGAGAAATTACTAGAATTGCTATATAACAGGAAGATGTATGATCCCATGCCCCCCTAAAATATAATCCCAACTAGAATGTTCCAAAAATTAAGCCAGTCTTCCAAGTACTTTAGCTCATGTCTATTTTAAATCTTTTATAAATACCGTGGGTTACTCTTGGAAGTAAGACTGCTTAATAAAAACAAAGACATCATCTTTCAAGAAAATTGCTTCATTTTCCAAACTTATAAGACTGCTCTGGTTGAGAAATTCACATGTGCATATTGCAGGGAAAAACTGTATTTCAAAAAATGCAATCACTTGTTGAGATAGTATCAATCTAGATTAATCAGTGTAGTGTTGTAAGCCAAACACATTCATCAATAGAAGAAAGTAGGGAGTCTAGAGACAGATTCACGGATATGGTCAAATACTTTCAGATAAATGTACTAATGCAATTCAATGGAGAAAATTAAAGTTATTTTTCAATGAATGACATTTTCAAGAGAAATATAAATATATGTCTACAAAAAGACATGTACAGAAATATTTATAGCAGCTTTATTCAAAGTAGCAAAATGTTTAGAAAAGACGAACATATTGTGGTATATTAATACAATGCATATTACTCAGAAATAAAAAGGAAGGAACTGCTGATACACTCAACAATCTGGATGAATCTGGATGAATTTCAACAAAAATATACTCAGTTAAAGACGCTAGACACCAATGAGTCTATACTATCGGAATTTGTCTTTATGAAGTTCAAAAACAGGTATAGTTAGTCTATATGGCCCTCTTCATCTCCAAAGCCAGCAATGGGAATCTACTTTATGTTATATCTCTCTGACACTTTGAATCTCTTCAATTCTTCTTTCTGTCTCTGACCTCTAGACCCAGATTTCAAGGGGTCATGTGATTAGATAAGTCCTACCTCCATAATTTCCCTATTTAAGATCAACTGATTTGGGACCACAATGACATCTGCAAAACCCCATCAAGCAGCATGCAGCACCTAGCTTAGTGTTTGTTTAAATAAGTGGGAGAAGGCATGTATGCACCAGGAGCTGGGTATCTCAGGGATAATCTTAGAATTCTGCCTACCACAGTCCACCCTCAAGCCTTTAAAGATTCATGTCAATGCCACTCACAAAATACATTCACCACATCCCAAGGTTCCCAAATCTTTCATCTTATTACAGTATCAGCTCAAGTCTAAAACTTCATTGAAATGTCATTAGCACAAAGTCCAAAATCTCATCATCTAAATCAGTTGTGGATGAGGCTCCTAGAGTAATCCATCCTAGGGCACAATTTCTATTGGTGGACTTGTGATACTGAAGAGACAGTTATGTGCCCCTAACACTTTCACCATATAATGGTGGAACAGGCATAGAATAAAGTTATAGACATTCCAGCTCCAAAAGGGGGAAAATGGAGGAAAAAAGTAGTCACTGATCTACGAAAGTTTTGAAGTTCAGCCAGACAAGTGATAGGTTTTTCATGATACCTGGAGATAATCCTGTGGCTCTACCCTCTGGGCTCTCGGCTCTATCTTCTGTGCTTATGGTTCCATAAGAATACAACAGGGGCTGGGAATCTTGACAGTCATCTTAGAATTCTGTCTACCACACATCCATAATTAACTAAGAGTTTTTATTATAAATAAATGTTAACTTCATAAAGAGGTTTTTTAAATCCATTGAGAAGATCATATAGTTTTCCTTTTTTAATGAATTGGTGTTGAATGACATTTATATATTTTCCAATATTAAACTACTCTTTCATTCCTAGAAAAACCCTGATTTAGTTTTAGTGACTTAAAATGTTTTTATGAATTCTTAGACTTGTTTTGCTAATATTTTATTTAGGATTTGTGTATCTTTACTTATGATTTATAGGGCTCTTTTGCTTAATATAATCTATCTGGAGCTATTTTATTAGATATATAAATATTTTAATATAATCCAACTGAATTGAATTTTATATTATTAGGCAACATTCTTATAAAATTGTTTAAAGTACTAAAAGATTTTAAACAAATTAGATGTCTTTAAATTAGTGACCAGTTAAATAAATTATGTCTATCCATACAAAAGTCATTTGCAATTCTAAAACATTCTGAGGCAACTTTCTATGTAAACATTTAGAATACTTTTTAGATATATTGTTAAATGAAAAAAAAGCATTAGTATCTGACAAACAGTTGGCTGGTTTTCTGGACTGAGCTTCCATTGTAAACAGATAAGAATATTAGATAAAATATGTTTAAAATAAACCATTTCATTAAAAACATGGATGATGATCTAGCAGGAAAGATGGACTATTCGGCCAATACTTAATGAAACATAAGCTGAGCATTGAAGACAGATTTTTCCCTGTGGACTTTTGACCTTGAGACTTTTGGCCTTCCAGGGTACAAGGACAACAGAAATCAAATACTAACATCCTAGCAATGGGGGAGTATAGTAGGAGACCTTTTCCCAAAATGCTTAGATGATAAAGACTTACTGGGTCAATGAAGGATGTCTCCACCCTTGGCAGCAGACTGCCAAAAAAATTTGCCCTGTGTGAACCTTACAGCTGAGCAGAAGGGAAAGAAGTAATGCTCTGACAAATTTGCTCATCAGCTAGCCCTTCCTCAGATTTGTAGTCTAACCTCACTGTCTTTGGGTCATCTAAAAAATCTCAAACCACACACACACACACACACATACATGCACGAATACATGCACACCTACACATACATATACTGAGGATAGCTTGCTCCAAACCTTTCTGAACAACCCTCAAATGCAAAAGGGAAATGAATGGACCTAGAAAGCTGACCAAAGCACTGTGAGAACTTCTGGAGGAGACTAAAAAGCCTCTAGATGGTGAAGGGGAAGCAATCCTTACCATGTGCAGAGAAAGGCTCATTGTGCTAGTCAGTTAGGGGTAACTTCGAGTTTTACTCATTTTTTTCCTCTGCATTGCTCCAGGAAGACCATGAATTATGTCTAAATAAGTCATGAGTTAAAAGGAAACCACACACACACACACACACAAAGGAAACCACAAGAGAGATTCTAAAGTACTTGAGACTGAGTAACAGTAAAAATACTGCATGTTAAACTCATAGACAGAGCAAAAGTTACATCTCTAAATATGTTTATTAGAAGTGAAGAAAGAACTCAAAAACTTAGAAACTGAACAAAGTAACAGACCCTAAACAAATGGTCTAGAAGGAAGTAGACACTAAGCTAAGGACAGAAATCAATAATATATAGAATACATATATATATATATATATATAAATTTGGACATAGATGTAATGGACAATTTAAAAATCAAAATTGATACAGAAAGAAATATAAAATTTAATAGACCACTAGCATTTACATAAACTGAAAAAGTATATATTCTACTGTCCAACCCCTTTTCTGGGATTTTGTCCCCCATGACATGGACACAACTCTAAGCCAATACTGATAATTCCTTATTGTTGTTACCCTGCCCTGCTTAAAATAAACATTTTCTCTCAAAAAAAAAAATCTGCAGTAAACATCCAAGTGTTGATGCCCAAGGATGCAGTGACTCAAGAACATTCATCCTGCCTCAGTTCCTTTTATGGATCTGTCTCCTTCTGTATTAGATGGAACTAAAACAGCCCACTTTTTTCTAATAGTTTTCACCCCGTGACAAACTGACAAGTGTACAAGAATGGAAATAAGCTAAAGTGTGAGCAATAAGGGTACATAGAATCTTTATTTAGGGCTTTTTTGATGGAAAACTATAGCAGAAATGATTTTTTTCACTTACTTTCCTAAGACCTCTTATGTGTTTCCATGGTAAAATTCTCTCACATGGAATCTGTAGTGTCCTATTTAAGGAGGAGAAAGCCTGTATAATGGAACTGAGAATAAAGTGCTACCTTTCTTTGGAGGGAACCGGTTGTCCATTTGCTTGCAGGGCTGAAGTTGCTTCTGTTCTTGCTGAAGGGTTTGATTTCTATCCACTGTGAGTGCAAAACACATTGATGTCAACATAACTTAGGGAAGCAACTGACTAAACGCCACGCAGTACTTCTGTCTGATTTAAAATCTGCATCAAAGGAAAACTTGCTCCATCATACCAGTGTCCATTCAACTCCATTATGTGCTTCCTTTGCTATTTCACTTTCATGATACTTTTGGTTGATTAAAAATATACAGAAAACCTGAAAACTATGGAAAACAAAAAAAACCCCTGCCAACCCAGAATTCTATGTCCAGTTATCTCTCAAAAGTAAAGAAACAAAGACTTTATTCAACAAACAAAAATTGAGGGAACTCATTGTCAGTAGAACTGCCTTTCAAGAATGTTAAAAGAAGCCCTTCAGGCAGAAAGAGATTGCTATAGATCAGAAACTTGGCAGCACAACAAGAAAGGAAGAATGTCAGAAAAGGAATAAGTAATTTTTTTTTTCTTTTTCTGAATCTTAATACAGCTGAAAGATAACTAAGCTTGTTAATATCACCGGTTGAGCAGCAGCACATCACCCCCACATGCACCTGTCTGTATCTTCAGTATCTATGGATGGAGCAGCCAGTGCTGCCAAGTCCCCATTTTATGGCAGGAAGTTCAGCAAAGCAGATAAATGGGAATGAAGCAGTCTCAAATCAGGCAACTCCTTATGATCAGAATTCAGCACCAACATGCATTGATCAGTCTAGACCTCAAGATTTGACCACATCAGTATATATGACACCAGGTGCCCCAAAGATACCTACACCCTAAGATTGGATTTGCAAAGTATTTTTGAATGAGCAATTTGTCAACCACTGTTGTTGCACATTGGAGCCTCTTCTGGAGTTGCTATTTATTCAATACACACATAAACACACACATTAAAAACTTAACACATGCATACCACACACACACACACACATCACCCATACAAACATACCCCACACATACATACAGTATAAACACACAGTGCAACCCCCCTCAGGCTCCCTACTCACATACTCCATACATATATATAAACAAGACATACAAACACATTGCAATACCATGTACACAATGCACGTGCAAACTACACACACCATACACACATAATCACACACACACAAGCCACAGACACATTCATACCATAAACACACGGTGCACCACCCACGTCACAGACACACCACACCTCTTACAGCGGCACAAGCACTACACGCCACACAACACATACTTCTCTTTCCTTGTGTCCTTGTGCACAGCTGTCTACCTCACACTCATTCCTAAAATATGTTTTTTTCTTTCCCTTGTGAAAAGCCTCCGAAGATAGACATAAGCATATGCATATTTTCCCCCCAGATTTTCCCATATTGGTAAATACCTTCAATAAGTCTTCGCCAGAGAAGCCTTATTGCCCTCCGGGTAATTAAATAATTGTTTAATCATTTAATGAACAGCTTATGAAAGTAAGACTAACCTGATTTTGGAACAGAAAAGCGATTCCTTCTTCCCCTGTGTGGACTTTTTTCTCAGCTTTACGCAGTACTGAATTTCTACATTTGCCAATTTTAGCCCCATAAAGCCTTTGACAAGTCCTTTGACATCATTATGTCAAAGTTAAAAGCTTATTTTTTAACTTTATCCTTTTCTTGAATCTTCAGGGGAGTTGTATGAGTCCCAGAATGACCCAATGGACTTAAAACCTCCTGGGAGTTTGCCAGTAATTTCACAGCATATGAACAAATATCCTGCCCAGGAGGTAGAACTTGCCTGCTGTAGTACCCCCAAGATTTCTCTATTGAGGATGGCTCTGGGTATACAATGCTGTTCTCACAGGAATGCTGTGACTTTCTAAATGTCCCCTAAATGCTCTGTTAAACTTTCTTCCTGCATTCCTTCCTTCCCTCCCTTCTTTTCTTTTGTCCTTCTCTTTTCCTTCCTCTTTCTTTCCCTCCTTCCTTTAATTCCCTCCTCCCTTCTCCCTGTCTCTGCTCTGCCTCCGTCCCCCACACTCATCTGTTTGACATTCAGCATACTCAGAAAGAGGTACACTTCACTGAGATGTGTCCTCTGAAAGGTGTGACATCCTCATGACTTTTCCTGCTATGACTCTGTAAGCTCTGGTTCAGCTACCTGGCTATAGCAATACTTGGGAGCACTTTTAACTTGGAACTCTTTGAAGGTGAAAAATCAGAAACATCTTAAGCCCTGGAATCATTGATTTTGTTTTTGTTTTTTTTTTTCTTTTTAGTGCTTGGGGAGAGATGTAAAGTGATTTTGCACTATAGATAATGTATCATATACTTAGTAAGCATTTTTATTTTTCATTATGCTTTTAAAGTGCCTGTTAAATGTTTGGCACATAGCAGATGCTCTATAAATAGACCAGTTATTTTTTCTGTAAAGAAATGTAAATCTTTAACCCCTTTGCTCAAGAGACTTTGATGTCTTGTAATTTGGATTTTTTTCTTCTTGTGTTATAGAATGTCTGAATTGTCTGTTCTGTTTGATTCTATTTCTGGCACTTTCTGATTGAGAGCCCTGGGTCAGCAGTTGTTCAAAGTTCACCTCCATCTGGCCTCAATGTCACAGGTTCTAGGTACTGATTACCTAAAAGGAACCATCTTTCTGTTTGCTGTTCCCAGAGCTTTCTGTGAGGTTCTTTGAAATTACTTCTTCTGGATTCTGGGTTTTACTAAGTTTTTTAATTTAGCATTTTATTATGGAAAATTTCAAACATACAAAAAAAAAATAGAACAGTCTAAAATAACCATGTGCTTATTAACCAGCTTCAACAATTATCAATATTTGTTTTCATATCCAATGGCTGTTTTCTGTAGCATTTTAAAGCAAATCTCAGACATTATGTTATTTCTTCTATACAAAGTTCAGCATGGATATTTAATTCATTAGGACTTTAAACAGTGTAACTAACATACCATTGACACATCTAGTAAATACATAATAATCCCTTAATATCATGTAATATCCAACCATTATGGCAATTTTCTCAATTGCTTCAAAGTTGTTTCCTTTATAAGTGCTTGATTTAAGTGATGATCCAAATAGAATCCACATAACAGCACCTAATTGTTAGGGCTCTTGAGTCTCTTATTTTATAACAATCTCCTCTCCCATTTTATACTTACTGTTACCTAAAAATAACAATAACAAAATGTGGTTATTTGCAGAGTGACCCTGAAAATGGGTCATGATTGATTTGACTGATTGCTGCCTTTTAGTGTCATTTGATATATTTTTATTCATCCGTAAACTGTTAGGGTTTAAGGATGAATAGGGTTTGGTGAATAAAGATGAAAGAGGTTTGGTTAGATTCAGTGCAAGAACACTTCAAAGGGGTACTGTATACTTCGTATTGCATCTTGTCAGGAGGCATATATGAAATAATAGCAGACTGTCTCACTTTTAGTGATGGTAGAATAACTAGTGGGTTCAGATATTCTCAGCTTGACTTATTTATTAATAAAGTTGTCATCAACTTTTCACCAGTGGCTTTTACCTATTGTTAGTAAATGTTGCCTATATCCATTATTTGATTAGAAGTTGCAAAATGGTGATTTTCTAATTCTATCATGTCTTCCTCATTTATGAACTAGAATTTTTTACAAAAAAAAGTAAATTTACCTTATCAAATATTTGCGAATCTGGAACTACAAGTTTAACAGGAAAATCATGATAAATACTTGATAAAATTTCAGAATAATGACTTAGTGCCTTAGCAAAGATGCCCAACTACAATTATGATCTCATGGATTTTATTTGATGTTTTTCATTCTGTCACAGTTCTTACTTTCTTTGATGCTCAAATTGTCCCTTCTTTGGCCAGTGGGAGTTCCTTCAAATTGGTTTTCATGTCATTATAACACGACTCTTGTGGTCTTGGACAGCTTCCTTGTTTTCTAACACAAAAAAATCTTTTTCTAGCCCCCTTTATATATTTCCTATTCTCAGACCAGGACTCTTAAAAAATGCTGGTTCTTTTTAGTAGAAGATAATGTTTAGAGACCATGTTGTGATGTGGTCATTACTTCTGGGTCTCATTGCTTCTAGACCTTTTCAGTGGAAGAACTTGAAAAAAAGAATTTTTTTAATTATAAATTTTTCTTAAATTTCCAATTCAAATTTTAAGATTAGAGTGATTTTCAAAATTCCTTTGACTTATATTCTTACATATTACTCTTATGTTGAACATCTTTGTTCCTAATAAATATACTTTTTTGCTTTATTATAATATATCTATATTAATATCAAAATAACACTAATAGTATAACCAAAATAATATCAAAATAACACTAATACTATTACCTTCTTCAGGAGCAGGCCCTCAGATGAAGATTTGTGTAAAAGTTGTATAATAATGTTTTCAGGAAAATAAACAAACAACAAAAATAGGAAGTTGAGAAGTAGGCAGAAGAGGTGAAGCAAGGGTATGGTAACAAACCAAGTCTGGAAGAAGATCATTTTGGACTAATCTTACAAAGGAGCAGTGGGAACAGTGCTGGCCACACCTCAGAGTTGTCCTAACCACAGTTAGAGGAGTTGGAATATTTATATGCAGCACCCATCAATGGGTGGCTATGGCTACTTTAGGTAGGTCCTAATTTCTGGCGAGTACAGATAAAGCGTTTTCCAGCAGCTCAGGAGCAGCCCTTGGACTAAGTTCTGAGCATGCTGGCTGTCGGCAGTGAAAGCACAAGGGGAGCTTTTGTACACCAAGAAATGAAGGACCCCAGAGACATGAACAGAGCACTGACAGTATCTATTACCCATTATACTGCTCAGTTCCATTCTCTCCTCTCAGCAAGTTCATTCCAGTACTCCTTTAGGAAGAAAAGAAGAGGGCTAGAGAAACATTTATGTCTCCACTGCTGCAGTTGAACCCAAGGACTTTAATGATACTAATGATCTCTCTTCTTCTACCCATTTTAGGTCCCCTCTACTCTTGGCCAGCACTTCTGCTGGTTTGGGAAGAGTGCTCATTGGGAACAATTCCCCTTACTCTTTCAGGGCCACTCTCCGAGTATAGCTGCCGTGCAGCAGCTATCCACTTTTGGCTTGCACCAATATATTGAGCCACCATATTTGTGAATCAAACCTGAGTATTTTCCTTCTTCCTTAGTAGGTCATAAGTCACCCCTGGCATGGAGAAGCATTGATGTGACAATGGTAGGTGGCATAGAGGTCTGGGCCATCTGTACATGAAGCTTTTTTGTGCCTTCTGAGTCTGCTTAAGCCAGATCCCAGATAAACTACTTCCATTGTACAATGGATTTCTTCCATGCCTGCTTGAACTTATGACTTCATGAAAATGTCTAACTCTGGTTGCAGAGTAATTTGGTCTCCCAAGGTCAGATATTCCATTTTGCCGGGACCCGGTATTGGATGAAGATCTTATTTTTAGATAGAATATAATACTGTGCTTCAGATGTCATGACCTTATTCCAGAAACCTAGGGATTTCAGCTATGACTCTCCTATTGGGACTTGATAGAGCCACTACATAGCCCCATAGGATCTAGGGGACAGTATGGTCCAAGCAGCAAGGCCACTTGTTCCACAGCTAGTTCTGTTGCAGCTTTTTATTTTTCTGGGCCCCACTCAAACCTGGCTTCCTTCCTGAGTCACCTGATACATAGAACAGTATAGTATTCCTAGGTGTAGTATATATTGCCTCTGAGTTTTATGCCTTTTTCTACCATGCATTGGGATTCTGTCTTAGTGGCAGGAGTTTCAAGATGCAATAACTTGCCTTTACCTTGTAGATGATATTCTGGCATATTCCAGACCACTGGATCCCTGTAACTTCACTTATATGGCAAGTCCCTGACACTTTGGAGGCTTTGTCTCCCTTCCTGGGGAGTGTGAATATCTTTACAGGGCATGCAGAATCCTTGTCCCTTCTTACTATTCAGTTCCAGTTGACAAAATTTCATGTGTATAGTGTAATAATGTGATGTTGAAGGTAATCAAGGTCCCCTCAGATTATGTTGTAAAATGGGTTGGAGAGTTAATATAGTCCTTGGCGAGACTGTGAAAGGGGTACTGTCGTTTATCTCAAGTTAATGAGAACTATTAATATTCTAGTCCTCCTTTCTGATAGTGTTCCAAAGAACACGCTTACCAAATCAGTACCTGCATACCAAGTAACAAAGCCTGCATTGATCTGTTTCATCTTACACGGTATATGCAATTAAGCTACCATTGGATCCTGTCTATGGTGGCCCTCCACCACCTACTACAGTCCATTTATGCTGGAGCCACATTGATGAGTTGAATGTGAATATGATAAAGATCATCACTCTAGCATCTTCTAAGTCTTTACAAATGGCATTTACTCTCTGCCATTCCACCTAGGCTGTGGTATTGCTTCTAAATTACTAATTTGCCAGGAGTGGACTATTTTGGGAATTCTTGTTTAAGCTTAAATTACATTTAATATGGAGTAACAGCAGTGTATCCCCATCTTGACAAAATTTCCTTTATCCAGCCTTACATTCATTCTGTTCCCAACACCCTGGTCCCATATTCTAAGCATCCTCTCCTTGTCCCTTCCATTTTATTGGTAAATAATCCTTTCTCTCCTTAGCAGAGGCAGCACTACATCAGTTGGGCCATACTAAAATCTGACCTAGTTATTTGCCTAGTATTTAGGTTTATTTTTTGTCAGGTATTCAAGAAAGTGAGGATAGAACTTGACTAAGCAAATATTGTCTTGCAAGGCAGCTGTATCAGGTGTGGTTTCTGCATGATCTTCAGGCAAAGGGAGGCTGCTACCCGTCAGCATAATGTTTTGGGCCATTTCTGGAGGATAAGTTTTAGGTTTTCCCAGGACTTGACTTTAGCATAAGAGAT